AAACTGTTTAATTTCCGACCAAGTAAAAGAAAAATCCATAAATAAAATAGTTCTAAAGTACTTTGAACTCTGAAAATTGGCTTTGACTTAAGTTACTGCAGTTAAAAAGGATATTAAAAAAATTAAGAAGCAGTTAAAGAAGTTTTTTACTCAACTAAATTTTCATGCTTCGTCGAAAAAGTTTCAGTTTACATTAGTACATTACATTTCATAAACAGGTCTTAAGTTTCATAAATTCGCCTGCGAAAATTTGCAGAATAATTTTCCTAGAATCAAATGCTTAAGGTTGCAAATTTATACTAGTCAGGCATTGGGAATTATCTACAACTTCTATATGCTCGCGGGCAGTATGAAACCGTCAGGGAACCAATAAGAACGCTTCAAATTTTTTTAGGAATTAAGAAATTATTTCCTCTGAGGATGATGTGGAACAAAATAGGTGTTCTTAGTCATTCGCAAATTTTGCGCCGGATTCCGTTTACTGTGCTACTGAAATATTAGTAAATTATTCACAATATTAGCATTCTAAAATATTTTAGAAAGGAAAGATTACAACCCTTGAAACACCTAGGCGTGAATTGTACATTTGCAGTTGTCTCACCAGTCATTTCCGGTCAGAACGGCCCTCTTTCAGAAGCCCCATTGCGCAGTACATGCACACCTTCGTATGAGGTGTGACATTTAGTGGTAAAATTTGCAGGGGCGTCACCTCCAACACGCCGGAAACTCCTTCCAATTTTTGCTTCTTTTTTCCACATGAACATGGAATCTAGCTGTCGTTTGCTCACTTTTATCCCCCGCTCCCCCAATCTGTCCCATTAGATTGTAACTTCCTCTGTGATGTTCCCTAAAAATGCTCTTCTTCATTTTGGTTATTTTTTCCCTAAATTTAGGTGACTATGTCGTCGCGAAAGGAGAAAACGAGGATGTCCAGTGGAACAGCAGCAAACACGCAACAACCGCATATCGCAGTGGCGATTACTGAACATGGCACATCAATGCCATCACCATTGTCGACTTTACTGTTATTTTTATCAATTTCGTGTCACTATTTCGTTTCTTCTAAATTTCGACTACTGCCATGCACTGTTGCTACATCAACCTTGGTCAAGGCTACTGCTTTACATTCATCCAACAACTTTAACTGTTTTTAATTAGCGTACTGAAAAATTGTAAGTAAAGAGCATTAGAAAATAGATTATTTCCTAAGGTCAGTTACTCTTCATTTGCGGTTTTTGAAATTGGCGATAAAATTCTTGCCGTGATGAGGTGTGTGTACAGTCAAGGAGTTATAACACGAATAAAAGCAGGAATTTCACGGCATTCAAAAATAGATTCTGTGCTGCAATTCACACAGCAAACGCAGGTAATTTGTATCTCTGGTCATACTACTTAACATTAGTTAGTAAGCAGCAATAAATTTATTCTAATTAATAAATTTTTTGTAGGGTCTGCTGCTATCTGCAGACAGATAGCTTAGCTCTTAAGAAATAAATAGATTCAACCATATTTAAAAGTTCTTTCTAAAAAACAGTTAGGATTAGTTAACCAACATTCCAGAGAGACTTCCATAAGTTAAATTTGCGAGGCATGGCAAAAATTCATGTCCCAAATCTCGGTTGCGCATCTCCGTTAGAAAGTCACCACTTTAGATAGGATGAAGAGAGGTGGAAGAGCCTCACGTTTTCCATGACCTTCGATTTCCGCGCCGATATTACTCCAGCCTCTAAATGTTCGTTATCGAATTCGCTTCACTGAGGTATTTGGCAATTACGTGGTCGCATTGGAAGGAGAATGGACGAGTGAGCAATAAATGTAAAGCTATAGCAAGGGTGTCACATCTATAAAGTTGCTGGACTGAAGTTAAAAAGATTAAATGATTTTTACTGTCACCATGGCAAAAGACATGTTCCACGTGGGTCTATTGTTCTCGGATGTAGTGTCTCTATTTGGGCCCCTCCTTTTACAATAATTTTGCTTCATTCCTAGAGTGGCAAACTGCCGTGAGTCCGTGTTTATGTTAGCTTCTTTACTCTGATCCGAAGTTGATTTTTAGTGTTAAAACATCTGTTCAGACTAGATTCTGCTGTTTTTTTTACAAAATACCGTTTATTAAAAGGTCCTATCAACCATTCCTACTGCCAACTTTTTCAACATAAAGTCCAAATTGTATATGAGAGGTTACAAAGTGGAAAAGCGGTGATGATGAGCACTTGACAAACTGCCAGCAGGTGAATGTAGAGCAGGTGGATGAGGATAAGGTGAAGCATTATTCGTCTCTAAGCTGTCCGAAGTTACACATCTTGCTATAAACAACTTATGTGAGAGAAAAAGTGGTAGAATATCAGAACAAAGGTTCCGCACGGTAATGGATAACCATCAAACAATTTCTCTTTTATACATTTACTTTAATGATTATTTTTAAAATGTGAGAGGGAAATTAAACCATTTCTCCGTAGTTTCTAATGAAGTTTTTTCTATGACGGCGTGCAAAATTCATCGGTGGGTTTCGCAAACCCCTACAGCATATGAACCTGCAAACACGCCTACAGGCAAGCATGACTCCCAGCGAAGGGGAGTGGCGAATGGATCATTGCAAGCCGTTCAAACCCTCAGCATTATTAGCCAACAATCAGCATTGTATAGTGTAGTGAGTGACCTTTATGTACCTGAATGAAATTGTAAAGGCCTTTTATTCATTTAGCACCCCCACCTTGCATTGACATCGCTCCCACCATCTTATCATTTCTTCTATATTCAACAATCACGTCATGTCATGTCAATGGTCGGCTTTTGGCAAATGTTAACAAGCAGAAAAGCGTGACGTTCATTCCAGAAGCAAAAGGAATGCACTAAGTTTGCATTAGGTATTTCACAGTTGATTCATTAGGCTGATGTAGGAATTGGGAACACTTATTATGGTATCGAAGGCAAGGATTAGTGTCGAACTGTCCCTACTTATGCCTCCCTTCCCAAATAACAACTCCTGAAAACATTTCTTGCCTTAAGTGGTGTTAATTCTCTTATTTAAGATGTCAGATTTTGCTAAGTTACTTATGAACATTTATCTCAATTGCATCCACAATTCATCCTCGTTACCTATTTGTGAGCTCATGGAGTCGGCTTCTAACTGTCTCTTAGGACATTTTGCTTATTGAAAAATGTATAAAATAATTCAAAAACGGTTGACTCTTGAGCAACAAGGGAGATAGTTTGACACCCGTCTTACAGAGAGTGTGATAAAATATCGGCGTGGAGTGGATGTTCATTTTGAGGTATAATACGAAATTCCTCCTACGGAACTTAACGGAAGTACCATTCCAGTAATTCAGCAAAATATCCAAATTTTTATCCGAAAGTGCTCAACAGTGAGCAGGTCTACTAACTCCCCTATCCACAGAGAGGTGTTTAGCATATTGCCCCTGAATGCAATGCCGGATGTCAGGAAAACGCAATGATACCATGCAAGTTTTTATGCAGAAAAACATATTAAAGCACACTTTTGTGCGATAATTTTTGTGATCAACTTCTAAATCCCTAATTTCCGTCCTTTTTCATAACAGTTTTATTTCATTTATAGGAAAAAGGCTACTCAACACAAACTTCTAAGCAATTATGAGAAGGCAAATAAACAAGTGTTATATTGTTATGCTGTCCAAATTGCTTAGGTTACTTAAGTCCTTTTTTTCCCCTTAAGTATTGCGATTTTGATGCATTAGAAAGAATTATTAAAGGAACTACTTTAACTGTTCTGTGCATATTATCCAAGGGTATCTTTTGCCGACCTGATTAAGTTGCCCCCACATTAATCTTTTTTTAAGAAAATACTGTAACACTGACCTTGGTACTCTTTAAGGATTTCAAAAAAGAAATTGAAAATCCTCCTTTAATTCTGGACATTTGACCTAATACACACACTGTTGAGTGGTTTTGGGGCAATACACGTTTTCTAGTCTAAACGTTCTACAAAGAATCAAATTTCAAAAAATGGAACGTTTAGGTCATTAACTTGTATTTTTTTGTAAATCATAAGGTTTCCTCCAGCACTTTTTTTAAATTTTCGTTTTTTTACAGAAATGGGTTCTTCTTCAAGCAATTTATTAGCGCCTGATCCTGACAATTCCACCGATGCTATTGACACTATCAAGGAAGCAGAACCGATCGGAAAGGCCACCCCAGCACCCGACCACTCTGATGTTAAGAAATGCATACAGGCGCATGGAGAGGAGATCAACTGCTTGGCAGTGTCTGCTGACGCCTCATTGCTAGCCTCGGGATCGGAGGACTGTTCCGTTCGGCTGTGGACAATGGAAGGATTCGAATGCGTGCAGGAACTACTCGGACACAATGACTACATCACATGCCTGGTGTTCGCCGGGAAGGCGTTGTTATCCGGATCTGGGGATATGACTGTACGCAAGTGGGATTTCCCCAAGGGTGAATGTCTCTTTGTAAGTTACTTCAGTACCTAAAAATTCCATTTATATAGGATTGCTTGCTTCTGACATTTCCAGGAATAAAGGGCGTCTACCTTGTTAACTTGGGGGCCCCTTTCATCAAATTCCACGAAGATGAGAACCGCCATGGATTGAATCGTCGTTAATAAAGGAGAAGAACTAGCGTTGGTCCTTTTAAACCTTCCAAATTGTGTGAAGTTGCTCCTAAGTTAGTATAAATAATCGCGAGTTGGCCATCATGATTGACAGTGTTTGGACAGACCCACAAAACTGCTACCGCCTATCAATGGTTATACACACCTTCCACCTACAATTGTGTGTCTTACCACCAGGAGTAATAGGTTAGATATGACAGCAAAACACTTCTTGTATTTCCTAAAGATCATCACCGGTCATATGGGTTCAATCACCTCAATTTGCGTTACACGAACTCAAATTTTTACCTCTGGAAACGAAAGCCTCGTTTACTGCTGGAGCCTCGAAGACGGCACCCAGATTCGTCAATTCGAAGGACATAAAGGCGCAGTCTACGGGATACTCATTACTGCGGGTAGACGGGACTTCAACACAACTTTGGAGGAAACGGAACCAACTGCAGGACGACGTCGGGTGAGGTTTGTTACCTTCTCGGCAGATTGCACGGCGCGCCTTTGGAGTGCCACCAGATCGACCAGCCTCCAGACATTTGCGGGCCACACGGGACCAGTAACTTGTGTCGCGCTGGACCAGAACCACCACTACCTCTACACGGGATCATCCGAAGGTCGAATCGCCAGTTGGTTAATCGAAACGGGACAGCGGATCCATTGGTTTGAGGGACACACGGCTCCAATCATCGACTTGATTGTAGGTCTCTCAATCATTTTCAAATCAGAAATTCCCGTGTTTACTGGAGCATATTTAGGAGTATTATCTTCACAAATAAGGACATTTCAAGATGTCTTAAAGCAAAAATTGTTTAAAATGCTGGCTGGCAATAGAGCCAAATTAACTTAGCTAATAAATTATTGCCGGTGTATTCTGAAGATTGTATGTGTTTAAACCGTACAAACAGCAAGTCGGAGAGAGATTCTAACTTTATACCTCATTAAGTAGTACTCGAACGTTGAGCAAAGGCTAGTGTTTCCGTTTCAAAATTCGCAGTATTTTTAAGTTGCAGCTGACTGGCCCTTAAATGAGCATTCTAAACAAATCTTATTTACACAATATCCATGGAGAAACAGCAACAATATTGCTGAAAAAATTGAGCACTAAACTAGGCATATTTTTTTAAAAAAAGGAAATAAGCAAGGAACTGCAGTGAGATACAAAATTATTGCTTGGTGTTACAAGACGGGCACTTCCCTCCAAAGTTCAGTTCTACCAGCAAAAAATGCTATCCTGAAAAACGGAAATCTGGTTGCAAAATGATGTGGTTAATTTCATTCTAGGCTTCAAATATATGCAGCTACCACAATTTTACGAGAGGAAATGTAAAACATCCGTTTTGATAAAAATAAAGTCTTGTTTTAAAATAACGTGCATACTTCTATTGGTACATAAAAGAGAATGGTAAAGCCGGTGATTAAAGTATTCCGGTATACTGAAGTAGTTACTCTCGCCGGTTAAAATACTTAAAAAGCGACAAAGGAAGTTCCTTAAGCCTCTAAATTTTATTTTTCGAAACAGGCGCCAGTTTTGAACTCGCTATCAGAAACAAATAGCAGACATTTTAATGGGGAAATCACATTTATTATTAGGTTTGCTAATAAAGATTGTCGGAAATTTTGCTTTATTTTTAAGAATTCTGCTAATACCAACAAGTTTGATTCCCGCCTAGGATTTGGCGTTAACTGGGAGCTTTGAGAAACTTTTGAATTACGAATACCCGCAGATATTGTCAAAATTTATGACAAAGGATAGATTGCCTATTCATGTGCCAAATTGCAGATCCTGTAGATGCATCAACAACTGCAATATCCTCACAGTATCCTAACAGGCTACCGAAAAGTTTTGCTTTTTAACTGACTAGTTGTTTTGAAGCGCTCAGTTTTGGTTAGTTTTGCAATTTGGTTCCGTAACTACGTACCGTTTAAAGTCTTGCTTGCTTTGTTTGTGCAATTTATAATGTGGTCAATTAATGCCCACCACTTTTAAAAAGGCAGTGATTGGGTTGAAAAAACATCCTAGCCTCTTACCAGAATTTAAGTTGTCTCTATTTTTAATAACGTTTTTTAACTAGGGCAATATAAGGTTATGTTCATTTTTCATACTAATACAATAGATTTCAATTTTTCTGACTACGTTTTGTTCACTATTTTGTTCAAATAACTTTTCTACTTGGCAGTTTATTTTTGCATCACTTTTCAAAAAAATTGAGTTGTGGGTTCCCTGATAGCTCTATAATGTAGTGGTTGTTCGTTAAACTATTTTAACAGCAATTATATCTCTTTTAAAGCTTCAGTAAAGGTTTCAAGGATTTATTGGATTCTAGGTTTAAGCAGTTAATTCTCGTATGGGATGCTCGCGAGGCCTCTTGGTAAATCTGTTGCCACACCGCCGGTACGATGCTGTCTCCAATTGTTTGCTTTTATCCTCCCCGGTATCGCCTAGAACACCGGTACCTGCGGCCCGAAATTTTAGGTTTTACAAACTGAACGTGTACTTAGCTTTGCGGCTGCGATAACTCTTCGGCACATTTGCCGTTTAGCTTTTGAAGAAACTGTGGTTATGTGTCATCCCTTTGACAAGTTATTTAAGGAGGTTGGTTCTCGATGTAAAATGCTCAAAGATAGATAGATTAATGTCTGAAAGGAGTCCCACCTTTTACACAACCATCTATTGGCAATTACACACTGACTTCTAGTCACCAATGTTGACAATGTGTATCAATTCTATCGGCTAAACTACATTTGCCTTTTTTGTGGGAATTTTGGACGATTCCATTAGCCATGACTGTCATGCTAAAGGTCCATAGTTGCAGTGTGACGAGAAGACATACGAGGCGCATGGCGCAACTTTTATAGGGCAATTAACCCACGCAAAGTAGAGAGGAATTATACCTACTTCACCTCGATCTTCGTTTTTCTTAACTCGCTACTGATTTTAATTCAGTGGTATGTTACCACCTGAATTGAATGCTGAACCATGGTTTCATTGTTAGCATTTAGTCACTATTCCGCACGGATTAGGTACGCCCGCTTACCCTACGCTTTCACTGTGAACGTAAAACTTTGTTAAAAAATTCTTTTCGCTTTACTTTAGGTATCGGGTAATTACCTCTACAGCGCCAGTTCTGATGAGACAGCTCGAGCCTGGGTCACTGACATGGCGCAGGAATTGCGAACCTTTAAACCTCACGACCATACGGTTTTCAAGTTGGCACTGAAGGACGATTTGCGTGAGTTTAATAGACAACTCACCCTTTCTCTTCATTGGTTTGGTTTTGACTAGGGTAATTAATTTTACCATGCAAGCAGCCAATTTCAGGGGCTAGGCAATTCAGCATTTCTCATTTCCCTTCCTGATTCATTGCTACTAACCTGATGGAGGCTTTACGCAAGCTAGACTAAAGAGACTTTGTGAAAGTGTACTTCCATGACCAAACTCATCCGAAAGTGTGGCTCGATTATCGGTTACAAAACTACTGATAGCGCCCAGAGATTTTACCAAATTAAATCAGAATTTTAGCCTTAATGTCTAAAAAATCGTCCCTCTACTTCCTTAATTGTTACGCATTTAGTGATTACTGGATCAGGCGATGGGGAGATTCGATGCTTCGAGACAAATACCGCCATCATTCTGGAACGATTTACCTGCCCTGAGGAGGGGAAATTCTGCTGTTTTGAGGTATGCCGATTAAATCAAAAGGGTTATTAGATGCTTTCAATCTGTAGCTTGTGGGAAATTTGATAATTGCTGCATCTCAAGAGGGACGAATTTGTGTCTGCGATCTCTCCCCTCTGCTTGAACGAATCAAGACAAAGGAGTAATCAATCTCGTTTAACAATAGTAGGGTGACCCATCCAACCAAAGTTACTGACTGAACAAGAGAAGAGCATGACACATGCTGTTGTGGTTGATTAGATGACATCTTTATCAATGCCTTTATAAAAGTTCCACTATTTCAAATCAAATAGAGGTTTTTTGCAACTTCCAACCAATCGGCTCGACAGGAGTTACCCATTAAACTATTTTTTTCTTCCATAAAAGGCAGTAAATAAATATCAAAAGAACAACTTAACACGCCCTCTAAAAAGGCAAGTTCTGTAAGTCGAGTAGAACTTGCTCGAGAATGTGTGCAAAGTTCTCAACGCGATTCTCAACTCCAGTGATGGAAAATTGAAAAGCCTCGGGGTCTGTTCGACTTGCATAAGTTATGTGAATGGCACCACAGTGATCCATTGTTGGCAGTAGGATCTGCCATGCGCCCTAGGGTTAGCAAAAGAAGCAACTTCTTTGTGATGATTGAAATGCAAAAAATGCGGCTCCAAGTTCGCCCGTACTCCAATGTAGTTTTAACCTACCTCAGAGGAAGAATCGGGCAATCGACAGGTGACAAGATCATAAGGCATTTTCAGGAGTGTTTCCAGTGCCTCGCAGCGCTAAAACAGGATTGTGCAAAAATTTGGCAAACACCTCTGCCTAATTGTCGGACCCAGAGGGTCGAATAAAAGAGCGGCGCAGCAAAATTTAAAACAGCTCCCACATTAAACGATAAAACTCTTAAGTTTGGCCCTTGAAGGGGTAGTTTAGGACAAAAAAGATAAAGTGTTTAAATTGTGGACATCATTGTTCGCTTTCGTTGAGAAAAATCATCGATTCTCGGACTCAAAAATGTCCCATGTACAGCGTGAGGTACTTAAGTTCAAACAGTAGTATATTTTATACCTTGAAAGTGCGGAATTTGTGGGCAACGCTTAGCGCCAATAGGTGGCGGTCGATGCCCTTTCCCGTTATTGCGTGTTTTAGCAGGAATTCATGACGTTCACAAGCCTTTTTCAGGAGTTTTAAACACTCCGAGGCCTTGGCAGATTTTGTTGGCTTGCCAGTGCGGAGCCCAGCAAAACATCTGCAAAAAAAAGAGAAGCCTTTTCACGTAGGAAGGTGTCAGACTACCTGGCTACACTTTTGTCGTCTTTTTAACCTCACAAAATCCCCCATTTCCGTGGTGAGTGATCGCAGTGTCTCCGACCTTCCATTAATGAAAAGGCGGCATGGAACATACTCAGCACAGAGTGCCAGCCTCCCGGTCAGTCGAAAGTACGTTGCATGTAGAGCAGCTTGAATGAAAGCATCTGTGCAGAGGCACCAACCGAACTTCACTCGAGAACGACCAAAAGCCGTGAAGTTGAGAGAGGAGAACCTGAAAGACTTCCTATCCTGTAGCAAACATTATCACTCAATAAGTGATTGGTAAGGCTTATATTAAAGTTTAAGCAATGTGGAAAAAAATGGAAGGCATCCAGTGAAAATTAGGTTGATAATTAACAAAAGCTTGCAATTTTGCCTAAATCTACAGCTTTTAAAAGAAGTTGAGGAATAAGCTGTCAACAGATGACAAGCAAAAAAAAACAGGCCACCCTTCCATCTGACTTGGGCTCCCAGGAAAAGTAGCCCTAGATGAAACTTCACCTTTTGACAAAGCTGCAGTGCCCTGTCATAAATTGGAACCATTTCATCAAAGCAATGCCAATTTAATGGCAGAGGGTCATCGCATTCATGATCTGCTTCTTCCAGGTAGACCGCATCTCCAGTCGCTGCATCATACATTACTTCTGTTCTGAAAAAGGAAATAATTAAGGGATGCTAGTCCGAAGATTAGTCTTGATGAGCCGAAGGATTTATTTTTTTTGGATCTCACGGTAACCAGTTAAACATTCCCTTCCCCCCTCTTCCCCAAAGACAGCTTAGCAACAACCTACTCTGCAACTCGGAGACGTTCCAAAACACCAGCAAAGAAAGACGGGTCCATCGAACTCCAGTCAACGTGAATACTGATATCAGCGCTTGGAAGGACACAGAAATTGACACTCTTGTCAGCCCACAAGTTTCCTTTGGCTTGATAGGGCTCCATGGAGGAGTCGGTTGCCAAATAAACCTACAATGCATTCAATCGGGGTCATTTATGTAAAAGGTGCAGAAACGACTGAATCGTTTCTCAACAATAGACTTGTGGAAGGTTGCTTAACTTAACACCGGCTTACGAGTCCCCCTTCCTTCTTGTAAATCAAATAATGGGGCCTGGTCATCCGGAAGGATAAAGTGCTGCCTGACTTTCAAATGAAAGGTAAAAAGTGGGAAGCTACTTGACGCAGTCAGTCAAAAGTTACTTCTAATCACAAATCTGTCAGACAGGCAAGAATGTAACCAAGAAAATATAATTCATCAATCATTCATAATTACCCTAGTGGATGTAGGTGTGGACGAATGTCATGCCATCATGTCCTGTGCTAATGTCATCATCAATTTAACATGACATTGGGAGGCTTTTAAGGCAGATTCGTCAACGAAATTAAGGCGTTTAAACAATTCCTAGATGGCGGGATTGGCTATCGCACCGCTTCAACAGGAAGTACCTCTGACTTTGGAACGGGAAACCAGACCATCTCAAGTCACGTCAGCTAAAAATAGAAAATACCACTTACCAGACAAATTGCCTTTTCCACCTCACTGAGAGAGGCATTGTTAATTCCGTAGGTGAAGTAGTCAGATCGACTTTTCTGCCATTCATCCCGACTAAGTGTTGTCAAAACAGTCGGAGAGTAAGGTCTGTCACCTTCAAGTTCTAAACAGCAAAAAGTTACGTCCGCATTCTTTATAGGACCTTTTAAATGATAATGACCAGAAAGTAACTACTTTCTTAATAGTTTATTATGAAGCTCACTAATTCACAAATTATCGACCAATTAGGCGGTATTTTACAAAGCATACAAACCTGATTTTTTGCGTGAATCCTCCATCACAAATTCAAGCATTCTTTGCAGTAGATCGGGTGAGACAATTTTCCGCCATTTGGTGAAAAGTGGCACCTTGTAGAAGTGATTGCTGTGCACAACTACGATGTGCTGAAAGGCGATAAACATTCGCCTTGTAACATATTTTATCGTGAAATAAAAAAAGGTGATTTAATCTACCTTGCTTAGGGATGGTGGGTACGTCCAGAGTTCATCCTGGTCTTCTGAGGGAATTCTGAAGATAAGTTAAATACAGTAACCACTTTCAGAAGAATTTTTTGATATTTCACTTGCTAGTAAATGAGCCTGCCAATCAGATAACCACCTAACTTTGAAGTCTAATCCAGGTTACCATCTGATTGGTGGCCGCAATTACTGGCCAATGAGATATCGACTCGCCGAACCAATTAAAATTTGACGCCTAAATATTGCATTAAATTAGCATAGGGATTAATTTAAATTGCCGAGAAGAACCTTGTTGTAGAGAAGAGACGATACCACTGCGTCATACACATGGGCACTTGATGCTTGAAGGTATCGGGATTGATTCGACCTGCTTTGAGTAGAGAACGCATATTGCCATAGAGATAGATAAGCACTGCCGCCCTGCAATAAGTGAAAATGAATGTATAAAGAATCTCAAATTAGTACATTCCAATGTCGGTAAAAATAGTGCATAACCAGAAGGTTTGAGGGGATTTTTGACGCAGAGCCCTGAAATCAAAGAGCCTCTCTATCCGTTTATCCATACGGCACTCTCCACTCTGTTATCTATTACCTTTCATATACCAAGAAGTGGCATCAGAAGGACCTGATATATGGAATTCGGGTTTTTCTGCTTCAAGGAGCGCGGATACGTTGATCCTGTACTGCAAGAACTTTAGGTCCACCTCGATGCATAACTACATAACTTCGTTTTGTGTGCATGAATGTCAGAAGGAATCGTTGGTCCCCTAAGGGTAGAAGTGTTACAGACGCTCAAGGTGTCAATGTGGGAAAACTGTTTCAAGCACCCCATTCACGGCGAGCTTGGTGTCCTCCTCGACGCTACGTCATTGAGTTAAAGCCATGACAAGCTAACCTACTTCCACTTCGGTGCGTTTTATTGGCTGACTCAAGAGGTTGCATTTGCGGTGGCTGTTACAGATCTGCACAAGAAGAAAACCACAATCTGTATATCACTGATCCGATAACAAAATAAAACTTCTCAGAGTGAGGTGAGAACAATATGACACTCTATTTACCATGCTGCATTTATAAAAGTTCACCAACTAAGCTTGAGTAGCTTTTAGCCTTTAAAAAAGTGCTACAAATGACCTTCTTGCCTTAAAAAAGATGTGTGATTCAGGAGTCTTTACCGAGTTCATGACATGCTACTCACAGTCACATAAGTAGAATCTCCGTAACCTACGAACTCAGATATCAATTGTGGTGTCAATAGGGAGACTCACAGGGCCTGAAGAATACGAAAGAGGACATATGAAAGAATAAGCGGGTTACATGGTGAAACGATACACATAACAACGCAGACGGTAGCCTCGATCTCCTCGTAAATTAAAAAGAATTTTTCCTTTTAGGTGGGTGCACAGCACTGCTATTCTGTAACTGGCTTAGATTTTGGAACTTTCCAATAAAAATTGGCTTATTGCCTCAGCCACAAAAAAAGCAACATAAATTAAAACCAAATACATGAGTAGGTTCCTTGTCAAATGGCCAAATACCCCTCACATTAAAGCCCAGACAAAATTAAAATAATTAACTTCAAAGAGCAGTGAAAACTTCGAATACAAAAACGTATCCAGCGAATGGGAGAGAAATGTAATTGTCACCTCATTTTCGAATTTCGGGATGATGGGGCAGTGATTGGTTTTGTTTAGTTGAGCACCTAACTGCGCGGGCACTTTAGCCTCTACAGATTATGCTTTCGGTCTGCGGCATGGCCTGCCGGCCAGATTAGTGGCCCACCGGACCTCCCCCTACGCTATCAGTACATGCTCTTCCACACTACTTTAGTTTGTCGAAACTTCGACGAACACCTAGGAGGACACAACAATAAGTGTTTTGGAGGAGCAAGGGTAGTTTGAAGTTCCTCATCTCAACAAAATACTTCGCACGATGAACTAATTAATCAAAAATGTATTTGATTCTTACTTTAATTCCAAAAATGCCTCATTAAATAGGTCACTGCGCATTCATGGCACGTGTTTCCACTTTGTTACCCCAACAGATACGAAAAATGGCAATGAAGTGGAAACATTGACATGACCACAACGGGTCGGAAAATGTAAGCCAAAAAAGACACCTTCTAAGGCGCCAAAATAGAAATACTACGCATTGAAATGGCAAAAAACATGCCTTGAAAATTATTTAAATTACCTAGCCAGTGGATTTTTCGTGTGCAACTCTTTAGTCCCCTGGAAAGCCACAAAGGTTGTATCCATGTTGGTTGATTGGCGATGACAGAGAAAGGTGTAGGATTCCCTAAAACCACATTAAACAGTCAGTCATTTTGTAACAACTTTGTAGTGTAGACTTACCACCAAAGGGTTGCATAATTTCCGGAAACCCACTTTTTTACCTTCAATCGACGTTGACATCCGCTGCCCTGTTCTTTGTGCCATTTCTAAGCAAAGAAGTAAGGCGGAGAGTTTCGCACTCTATTGACACAAAAAGGGTTGAAGATGCAGCATAATTTTTAATGCATGAGACGGATAAGGGTGTGCTTACTCAGGGATGATGTAATAACATCACTAGAAGTGCTCTGTGATGCAGAATATCTGCTACGAAGTAAATGGCAGAATTGGCGCGGCTTCTCCAAGGAATTGCCTTAAAAAGGCGCTCACATTGACAATTTTGGCATCATCATGTGAATCAAATTAAAGCAATCTTTGACTAGAGTAGGTTAAAGTAATTAAAGAGAAATTTGTGCAAAATTGGTTCTTGACATTCAAGAATGTCTAACTGACGATAAATTCCTAGTTGATGCGTCATTACTGACTTCATGCTCGGACAATTACGCGGCATGGCAATGAACTTTTTTAATAGTTTTCTACACTTCCTAAATAATGCTCGAGTTGGAGTGGTGATAGCTTACGTCAGGGGAACGACCTAGCCAATTTTGTTGACCAAGCAACACACGGTAGAATATCGTAAAAGGTAGGCATAGATGACAAAGTATATGTATGCCAAGACCCACGAGATAAAAGCTTGATATGTTTAGGCATATTGTCAAATCCGAGGAAGAAAATTACCAAGAACAAAGCCCACAAAAATGACTTATTTTAAATGATCACTTAAACGTGCGGCTGCCAACTCTTTATGCTTGGATCAGCACATTCAATGTCATAAATCCAATCGTTTTTATAAAATTAGATTAGGCAAACATGTTTTAAGGCCAAAGTAAATGACCTTTAATCCGGTTTCAATTTCCTGATACCGCACCGAGTCTTGGCCAATGTAGGGAGAAAGACTTCCCATAACTCGTTTAATGGTCATGGCAACATCGGGTAGAGGAAGTGGGGGCAATATGTTGTCCATTTGAAAGGTATTTGGAGCACTTCCGAAACCCATCCTGAGACAGAAATTCCTAAGCTTTCCCCAAAATGTTTTGTCAGGTGAGGACTCCGGATAGTCTGCCATCAGTAGTAAAATAGTAGTCAGCGAATGCCATTAAGCCGGCAAAAGACACCGTAGTACTTTAGACTTATGAATAACTCACAAATCCAACGAGTGTAGGAGAGTGTCATTCGCAGGAAAGTACGTCGGATCCAAATAAGCATCGACAGAAAAAAGATACTCAGTTCGATTGATAAAATATGGCGAGAACTTCCACCATCTGCGATAAACAAGGGATTAACTAATCTAAATTAAGATCGAAACAAACCAAAAAGGAAAGGAAGCCACCATTCGTTGAGGTAGGTCACTCTTTCCTTAACCGACTCCAGATACAACACACCAGAATATTGATCGACTGAGAAACCAAGAGCAGCACAAAGAACCACCTGATAGGGACGAACTGGCCATATACTTGAGATAAACCATCGCCTAGGCAAAAAATGAATGCAGATGTCAAAATTTCTAAAGTGGAGGCGCACACAAAGTTAAGCATACAGAAGTGGATAGAGGCCAAGTGGATTGGAACAAGGGGATTGAAGAATGTTGACATCTTCAACGCTCACACCCATCTATTTTTAAAAAAATATAAATTTTTAGAGAGCCTTAAAAAAGGGATAACAATAAAATCAAATAAGGGGCTGACAAATCATTTTGAACAAGAAGTTAATTAAAGGTTAAATAGCATAAAATGCTATGCTTAACCATGCAAAAGAAGATTTAATTGGCATATCCTTATGAACCGTGTTTATGAAGTAGACTAAGACATTCAAACTCAGACGGCTTTCTTAAAGCTGGAATGGAAAAGCAAGCCTAAAACACAAATGTGGATGGACTTAAGGTGATGTCAAACAGTCATAAAGGCAGAAAAATGCCTGTGTTTTGCATTTATTAAAGCATTCTACTTTACAAAAAAAACACGATATGGCATGCTGTTCTATCTCAAAAACAAACAAATCCCCAGCGCAATTTGCCGCAAAATAATTCGACGAACCGCCTGACGCAAGCGACCTTGAAAAAAAATGCAAAGAAATTATGCATAATTTTTTAAGATATGTGCCCTTGTTATCTTTTGGAATACATACTAAAGATGTGAGATATGCATATACTCCATCAATATTCTTTTTGCAAAAATGATACATCATAAAAATGAACTAAAATTTAATGCCACATAAAAACAGTTTAAAACTTCTATAAATAAGTAGTTGCAATGCTAGTTTATTTGACTACTCTAACACAGATGTTTTAACTTTTCAATACTCCAGCGGTTTCTTAATACCACTGGGTCATGATGATCTCATCGATCGGTGTGTTCTTAGTGTGATGGATCTCAAACCGTTTCGGAGAGTCGTTCATGATATCCATGACTCTCATCCACAGGTCTCCCACTTCACGATATGTTGTATATCCGCATTTATCGGTGAAACAGGTAGTAGCGAAACTTTCCCCTATCCCTCCTGTAGTAACCTACCCACTTGATAGTGTCAAAACACGCCTTCAAGTTGCCGGTGAGCTCTCCGTAACTAAAGTTCGGCCGCGTTTATTTCCCCTCATTGTTTTAACTGTGAAAAATGAAGGAATTTTCAGTTTTTGGCAGGGTTTATCACCAGCGCTATATCGGCATTTCTGTAAGACTTTCCAGCTGCTGCCAATAGTTCGTAACTGGTTCTCGGAGTTCTTTACTTAGGTTTTCTGTTTACAGTGTATACAGGAGCTCGGATGCCGATTTATGAGATAATAAGAAATCGTGTTTTTGATATGCCTCCTGCAAGTGACAAAGCTAGGCATGAGCTGGAAGTGGCTAGGTGCAAAGAATCACAAGATTCTCTTTCTCGGAGTTACGTCTTACACGCCGCTGCTGGTGGAATAATTTCGGGTGCTTTGGCCCAATTTATCTGCAGCCCCACTGATCTATACAAAGTAAATGTTGCCACTTTATTATGAATTCTGCTATGTAGCTATCTTTAAAGTCCGTGTAGGTAGCTTTTAAAATATTGCCTTCATCGTGTATTATCATAAGCATCTCAAAGTTTGACTTTTCTGAGATGGCTTTGCGTGTCATTGTAAAATTATTTTGCGCGCATACGTTATTTAGTTATATTGTTTGCTCCCTATAAACTCCAGGCTTTGGTTCTCATGCATCATAATTTGGGCTATTCGTAATAACGCTCCTTTTTTGAGCAAAGATTGTTATTTATTTAATCGTTACTAGGTTCGCTTGCAAACGGAGCAAAGAATGAGTCTCGTCGCCACAACGCCTGTGATTGACTCCACTGGAAGACCGATTCCGTCTGTCGCGTAAGTTGAGTCGCGTTTCTTTTTTTTATGCCAGAATTTCCCTACAGACCTATCTATTGGTCTTGTGAGTGCTATTGGACCTACCGACGTGTTTTGCCTTGCAGTTACAAATAATTAGCTTTCCCTTCAAAGTTCATCTCTGTGTTCTGATTACTTACCTGGTAACACAGGTTTTACACTTGCAAGATATACTTTTGCCCTACTTAAAAAACTATCGTCCCAATTTTTAACAAAAACTTGGAAATGTTGGCGTAGATGCCTCTTTATACCCTTCAAACCTTTTCTATCCCTTATTTGTAGCTCATTTTCGTGAAACACGATATTGCAAATAGTCAGGCGTGTTTAGCGTTTTTCAAGACCCAATATGAAGTGTCTAGCTCGCCAAAACAAAAAAAGGGCGTTGATTAAATTCAATTGTCTCCCTTTTGCATTAACCCTTCAGTTCACTTTACTACACCGTAAACAAATAGTGTCCATTTATGAGGTGAGGTCAGGTGTCTAGATTTTACGTAGTAAACACTGGATGTTAGTCGTTTGCTTATAGATTGAATAGCTAGTTTGCTATCGTCGCCTTGACCGTTTGGCTGAGGTCGCGCTTGCCGTTGGTGATTTGCACATCTCGATCTCCTTGACGTTTGCCAGGCTTCTGTCAGAGTCAGTGTGGAGTAATTTTTGAAATACAATCTTTTCTCTAACAGGCACTCACCAAAACACCGTTTAGCCCATTCGGTAACGTTTCGGCAACTGGTGAAAGAGAGCGGATTGCTGGGTCTGTGGCGTGGTGGTCTGCCCAATGTCCAGCGCGCTGCACTCGTCAATATGGGCGAGATGACCACTTACGACACTGCAAAGCGCTGGCTGCAGCGGCGTTTTGGTCTCACTGACGGTCCACTTTTACACGGGTGTGCTTCCACCATGTCCGGTTTCGTCTCAGCCTGTTTGGGCACTCCGGCCGACTTTATCAAGACACGGATGATGAATCAGCGCGTTGTGACTACCTCTGGTGTTCCTCTATCCCCGCTCTACACTGGCATGATCGATTGCGCAATCAAAGTCGTTAAGCAAGAGGGCTTTTTCACCCTCTATCGTGGTTTCTTCCTCATCTGGGGTCGCATGGTAAATAATCGTTGCGGTACTACTTATGCATTTGTGAGTAGCATTCACGCCCCCTTTTTCTTTTAGGCGCCGTGGTCACTAACTTTCTGGTTGACCTATGAAAAGATGCGTGCTTTCATCGGCGCGGGAGGATTTTAGGAGTACAGATTGCTTTTTTTGCACTAGTCTGATCAAATTCATTTGTAAATACCAATGACCTTGATTTGGTGTCGAGTTTAGCCAATCCCATCTGCGATTTTACAATACCAATATCTCCTAATGCATCTAATTATCACCTTAAATCTTCTTGAGGTAATCTGACTTACGGAAGAATCGTGAGTGCTCTCTAAAACCCTTATAAAGCGGAGTTTCCTCATTGTTGTTAGGTGCTAAGATACATCTGCTCAAGGATTGTATGTATTCCAGAGTCGTAGGCCCAGCCTTAGCAGAACCATTCATTTGTTTTATGAAGTGTGTTCCCAATGGTGATATTCCAGGTGAATACTGAGGGGGTCGAAGTAGTGGGTCGTTGCTAGCACGGTTGTACAGGACGGATGTCTGGTGGTGACCCGGTTGATCAATCATTCCTAACTTGGACGGCGCCGTGTAGGGAGTGACAATAGTTAAAGATGCCTCGGAGATTGGGCGCGACCACAATTACGGAGGTTGATGCTCGGATGCATTCATGGTAGTGCTGTCGGGGCATGCGATGTAAATAGGACAGGAGGGAAGTCGAGCAGGATCGTCACAATTTTCGAGAATTGTGCTGGATTCCAAGCCGTAATATCAATAAAGCTGCCAGCTGACCAGTAAACAGAGCCAGCTTCGCTTCGTTGGTTTAATAAAAAAGCGAGTTTCTGGAAGCTCTACCCCCGGTTCTGTGATTCTACCGTGAAGGATAATTTGTTCACGAAGCATTTGGACTTGAAAAAGGCACTTTTACCTTTTCATCGTCAAATTATTGCATCCTTGTCTTGGGGAAACCGCAACCCTTAAAGATGGTTTTTTTGTCGCTAATTGCAGTCGTGGGGTTTAAGTAAGCTTTTTACTCACTAGCTGTACTATTCGTCTCTCAATGCTTCTTGACTCATCAATGTGATTCACTACATTCAACCAGTGAAAGACAATGAATTTTACACAGAAAGAATGTTGACCTTTTTCAAGTCCCATTAATACGCTCCAAGATAGACTCATTATATGAATCCAAATTTGAAAACTGCCATTACAAACGATTGAACTAAAACAAGGTCCTAAATGTCCGGTGTGGATGTGTCGGAGGCGAGTTCGAAATCCCTTGAATCAAATTGTTACCAGGGTTGAGATGAAAAATAACGGAGCACAGCATTTGGCCGAATTCCGTTGAACCAACCGAAATGGTATTCCTAACCAAAAACCTTAGAGACGTACACACTCTACTAAAAAGTTTTAAGTAGCAACTTTCCATTATCATTGTTGCTCAAGTCGTGGATACTCCAGATCATGCACTGCTTCGTCTGTACAAATAAAATAAAGAATCGTAGCCTTTTCAGCTTTAAGAAAGTCGGCATTCCCTAACAAAATCACCGAAAAAAATTCCAGGACAGCACAAAGTTCAGCCAAAAAAGGGTCATTAAATTTAGCAACAATCTATACACTATACACGAATGCACACAGGAGCAGAAAAGTCACACAGAATCAATCAGATAGTCAGTAAACTTCCGTACACCAGCTAGAGAACCACTTCCTGGATTAGAATCGCGGACGTCGCTTGCGTCCTGTATACTTGGAGTCGTGCGCAACATCCTTCATGCGACGTCGGGCGAGTTCCTTCTTCTGTCGAATCCACGCAGCACTCTTCTTGGGGTGACGACCATGCAGTCGTGCCTCTCGTAGCTCCGCCTGGGCACGTCGGCGCTGCTCCACAGCAGACACTATAGGAACCGTATTCACCTCATTCTCATTCATCTTAGCCTTGGGGACCGTGCGCACCACGCCGACGTCCAGCACCATAAAATACCTAAAGTAAGAGGTGACTGTGAGCTCCCGGTCTCCCACGATTCAGCCTAGAGTTTTTAACGAGATTCTTACAACTTCTCAGTAAGCTCATTACCCAAGTGTTGATGGGAAAATCGACCACCACATACCTAATCCATCCACTCGTTTAACTCAACTTCAATCCCAAACATCTCTATCATTGCATATGTCTAGTTTCATGAATGTAATGATAATCACCACCGAAAAATGTATGTCTGAGGGACAAGAAAGACCTGCATGAGAACGTGGCTGAATCTCTCCCCATTCCATCCTAACCAAAGTGAACATCTTCCAAGGCTGATTTAATGTAAGCGGTGAGAGGTCAAGCATGTTCCTTTAAAACAGGAGGCTCCTCCCATCGATTGCGCAATCCAGGGCGTTCATGAATGACAAGTTTTCCTTGCACGTCCTGAAGTAGATATGCAGTCTTTGACAGCAAGGGCTTAACAATCAGCTAGCAAACAACTTCCAGTGAACTATTCCATCTCCAATCCATAACGCACAAAGTAAGCATAGCCTTCAAGATGTGAAGTGGATGGCTGAAGAGGTGTTACAACTAAGTTAATAAACAAGTAAACCAACTCATGCTTGTTGTCGTAGGTCACTCTTTTCAGCATAGAAGAAAGACGTGGTCTGAAGTTTGGCCTAAATAGCTCAAAACGCGACACAGCATAACCCCCCCTATACTGTCATTCAACTCTCCGATATCCTCCCATACTCCGCTGAACTTCGAAGAAACGACTAATCACTAATCATCGACGACTGCACAACAACGCAACCAATACAATAACTTGCGCAAGGTTGAAACGAACAATAAAACAACGTCAAAGACAAAAAGTAGCGAATAAATCAAACACTAGCGACTAGTCGACCTTGCACTAGGTCTTCAAGAAAAATTCAAGGCTAGATCACTGGCTTACTTTTTTGCTCTAGTACTGTTGGGGAAGTCTACGACAATGCCGCCAGTAAAACCAGCTCGAATGGCCTCCGTCTGCAACAAGTCCAGCTGTAGCGAGCTCTCCGGGTAGCACTGCAAAACTGCGCGCGACCCACGTGAAAGGCAAGCATAGAGAGAAGAGAAAAAATTTCGAATTCGCCTGATTGGATTCTGGTCAGACCTTTCTGAATTAAACAGCCATTGAACCGCGGATATACTGATGGCACCGTCAAAGGAACCGCCCCGGAAAGGAAGAAGTTCACCAATATCTCCAAGAAGGAGGTCTCCTTCAGATTCTCGCTCCTGCGCCACGTTTAACATAGCCTGACTAATGTCAATACCAATCCATGAATGGCCATTCTCTGTTAGGACTTCACCACTGAGCCCAGAACCGCAACTAAAAAAAGTTGATTTGAAGAAACAATTGAAGCTGCCTACCCAATGTCTAAAAGAAGCAGTGGCTGATCTTCTGGCAAAAGTAAGAGTTCCAGAGCTCTTTCCGATAGTTTGGTCTGAATTTCGATCATATGTGAGCTGGGCAATAATATTTAAGCATTTCAAAAACGAAACTTACTTTGAAGTATATTTTTGGGCCTCCTTTTCATCGTAATACTAAAAGGTAAAAATCAGGAAAAAAATAGAAACTCACGATTTCTGGGGGAGCCGTATGTTCTGGACGCTTCCCGTGTGACATTTTGCGACGGTGTGAGCTTTAAACACTAAGTCATATAACCCACGACATTATCACTAGTTCAAACAAATTACTTCTAAAGCCTATATTCTGGTTTTTTACTCTTGATTTTAGTCTTGCTTGTTCACTTTAGGACGAATTTTAGACAGGTGCCTAATGCCTCAGAAAGATCTTTTATCATCATGGATCGGGAATGATGCATCTTATCCACTGAAGACTTCACTGAGGACAAAGAAAACATTACTCAGACAGTAAACATACATTCAACAAGCAGTAGAAGTTGGAACTACTAGCTCTGCCCAGAGGCCGGCCATTCCGGCGAAGTTACAGTAGACAAGGCCCAAAGTAGCCCTATTCAAAAACCGAGAGTTAAACAGTCAATGAATTACAGTAGAAAGGCACATTAATGTGTCGGAGGATTTGCTACATATGTGTAGCAGATACAGAAAGCAGTCAACATTTTCTTCCAGCCATATTACAAATTTTGTTTACAATTAGCGAAGGCTGAATTTTCCGCGGACTGAGTGAAAAATGTCTTCTTATTGCGACTGGTGAACTTTTGAAGTGCAAAGGCAGTTTTACTAACTAGTCATATTTTCACTGTACATCGGATCTATAGAATATGGGTCTTGTGTGATAATCTAGGCGCCTCACTTTTGGATGAAAATACATTTACTATCACTATCTCATATTTATTCAGGAGCAGTTACTCAGGAGCAAAGTCACCAAATGTGTCACAGAAAATCTTATTGGTTTACTCTTCTGTTTACCTATGCATTTAAGTTGACTTTGATTTCTTGAGGTTTTAGTTTCAGTTCGGGTCATGGGAATCAGGTCATGTAAACAACTGTTCACCCATTCCCTAGGTAAATGAAATCTCATCCTCTGTTCTGATATGATGAAAAGTGAAAATTAACTCCATATTTTTCATCAGCACCAAAGAAATTTGGCTAAATTCATAAGCGTTTGCTTATGAATTGGGCCGAGATCAGTCCTACCGTTGCCACCTTCCCCTCTACCACCAAAGATAAAAAGTCCTCACTGGTTTGCAGTCCTTTTTTGGCTTACCCGCGAAACGTGAATCTAAACAGCCTCAAGGTTTTAGCGATTATCAGTACACACCCCCAGGCAGTCACAACATCCCGATTGTCCGCACCACGGAAGTGCTTCTCCCCCCATCCCCCGCACCCCAAGTCCTAAACCCAACACCGCTTCCCGGGCACATGATCCCTATGGAACCACCACGGGAGGAAAAAAAAAGGAAAACCGCTTTCCCTGAGTTGTGGGGGGGGTTTTATTTGCAAAAGAGGGTTAGTTAAAAATATTACACAGTGAAAGCGGAATAATAGGGTGGTGGGTGGGAGGAAGGAAAGGAGACCAGGGAGAGGAGCAAAGTAAGTGGTATCAGTTCAAAGTTCGGAGAAAGGAAATAAGATACATGTAGGAAAAACTGTGAAATAAGGGGAAAGGTGAAGCATTGCAATCCTCTGTACATATATGGTTACTGCAAGAAATCAGACTTTTTGCTTCCTCTTTACGAAGAGCTGCCTCTGCTTATCAGGTGCACACACGACGTGGCATCAAACAGAGCCGGTGGTGGAAGAGCGCGCAGATCGCCCGTCACTCGGCCAACAATCGCTCTGCTCATTCCAACATCGACCAAGTGAAGCTCCACCGATTCTGGAACCTGGGCCGGAGCCAACACCGGCATCCCCAGCTGCACAGCCCAGGTCTTCAGGGCTTGTGATGGACCCACAGAATCGGTTTTAAGGGGGGCGCCCAATCTACCCAGCTGGACAGCCAAACAAATAGCTTTATGGCCGACCAACCACTCGCGCACCTCGGCAGGATACTGTTCCAGCGGTTGGCCCAATACCAACAGATCAATCAGAGCATTAGTGGGTCGACGAGTGATGCCTGTGGTTTTAGAGACCACTGTGAGACCGGGAATTCTACTGATCCACATCCGACCTGCGGGGCTAGTAAGTTCACCGTTACCGTTACCAAGAATGGCATCTGCTTCGTCCTCTTCTTCGTCGTCGTCGACACCGTATTCTTTCACTTCTGGGGAAAGGAGGGTGGTAGCCCTAGGGGACAGGGTTTGGGCTAACGTTAGTTCGACGTTGTAGGCGGGGAAAGGGGTGGATTCATCAACCGATGGAGTGGAGGGAGTGTGGAGAAGAACACAAGCAGCACCTCGGGCGGCCAAGTGACGAGCAATGTTCACAGCCAGAGCTCCGGACATATTTCGGCTTCCAGGCAGCACGAGAACTCGTAGGGGCGGTTGCGCAGACTGATGCTGTTGTTGTGATGGTCTCTGTTTTTGACCTAGTCTAGCCAAATCAACGAAAGCGACACAGAGATAGAGAGGTAGAAACACCAACCAGCTGAAGTGGTCACACCTTGCACAGTGTAACCTAGCATCCAGTCAAAAAGGAGGACTTTAAAGAGGAGGAATCTTATCTTGGACTACGAATCCAGCTTAAGAATAGGTGGGAACAATTGCAAGACGCTGGTCCTGACTCGAAAAGCCAGCAACCTTAGTTCTTTGAAGGTGGTTTAATAGAAAAGGAGATAGTACAATGTTTTACCTACAGCCTAAAGATTGACGGAGGCGCTGTAACACATTTGATCCCTGTTCCGACCAATATCTGAAAAATTTTGGCGAAATACTAATTACACGACTATGTGAACCTATTCGATTTCTACGACGGTGGCACGGAGGTCTAGTAAATGCTACTCGAGCCACCAGTCTCATAGTCCTTACGTGTGCATAAAATGAAAATACATGCAAATTCGTATGACCAAATATGGACGTATATGCCAGTACCTCCCCCCAAAAAAAACATCATCCAACTGGAATGCTGGATTCGTAGAACTACAAAAGAAGGGAGGTTAAAACTGCCAATTTCTGGCAACTGTCTTAACCGCAGTAAAGAAATGAAACCAAAATCCTGCATAAAAAAGTGCAACCGTGCACTAACTGAAATCCTAAGACTTGTCACGTGCAACTAGCCGCCATGACAATAACAACCATTAAATAAGTCGAATATGCTACTTATTGTCCGTGCTATCGGGCGAATTTCGCAGTTGGGTCAAATTTCCCACGAGCATCGAATTAAAACGTGAAATTTTTTACTTTTAGGTTTTAAACCGGCCCTCCACGATTAATCCCCATTCTAGGGCGAGTGGGCGAAAGGAGAAAAGAAGTATTGGAGGGCATCTCGCTGCGCCAAGTAGGTGCTGCTTGACTTTATTCCCAACTTGCAGCTTGGCATCAAGTAACCAGAATTATTCATGTAGTTTTCATTCTGGCTTGCTGCAATAACACAGGGCAACTTGTGAAGACTTGCATCAGTCTTTTGACCCGTTATCCTATATTATGTTCTCTACAACTTCTCTCCTTTGAGGTCACTGTTATAGCATAAAATAGGGGGTTACTCCGATGCCCGCCTGCTTTGCGAACAGGATCTAAATCGGTTTCCAAGTTACAAAAACTCCGTATTAAATGTAGGCAGTAAAATGACCTAACAAAGACAACTCTGGTGCATCATATCCAAGTGGCTCACCTATTTTTTAAGCACAATGAAGAATTGCTTGTCACCAGAGACACGCCATGAGTGACGGTAAAGACAAGGTAGAAAGAGACAAAAAAGGTAGCATAATTCGCATTATGTTTGTGTCAGGCTGAGAAATGAACACGACTTAAGCTTGAAGTGACTGCTAGACGCTGAAGATGGTATTAAACGTTGAAAATAAAAACAGCAGAGAGCTGCCTCATTGCCTTCTATTCCCATGTGTACAATTAATTTTCGTGCAGCCAAACCTGTGAAACACAGATTGCGCAACTAAACTAATTTCTCCTCTTTAAACAAATGACTCAACGAAACGCTCGTTCTATTTTATCACCAGAAGGAGTAGCATACAAAATATACAATGCATGAAGACGTTTTGCTAGAATGGTAAATTGCGTGATCGTGGTAGAGGTGTCACGGGAAGCATTGAGGACAACACTCAAGGTAAGAGGAGAGCTATTAAGAAAACATGGCTTTTATATGCACATTGGGAATTGCTGCAATTTTCTTCACTCCTCATCACTAAAGATGCATCCAAAACCATATCTGGGTCAGCTCATGTGTAACAGGAGGCAAGTGACCTTCATGCTGCAATAAGGTTTAAATGCGTGAGGATTTATCTGCCCAGAATCACCATTTACAAACCGCTGCAAAGAAGACACCTCGGAGCTTACCGATTGGGTGACTGTTTGAGAAAAGCGAGGGCACCATTGACGACTGCCAAACCAGCCATTTCAATGAGGCGATCCCATGTTAGTCCCATGGAGAGGGGTATCGCCATACCCGCTGAATCCTGTCCAGTGGCTAGGAACTGCAACACGCGTTCGTGGACGCTAGGAGCGAGGAAAGGTACCTTACGACCAGTGGTGGAATACCACATAGTAGAAATAATTGCTGGAGATTCCCAAGCCCTCGAAGGTGTAGACATCATGTTCCTCGGCTCGGCTACAGAAGCACAAAACCCAACCAGTTAATGAAATGAGATGTTGAGTAGATTGCAAGAACACGACGAACTCACGAACTGGTTCGAAGCTGACTCCATCGGGGCCCTCTACTAGAACCTTTTCACCATTGGGACAGAAGTCATGCAAACGTCCACTACTCTTGCTACTTCCACCCTCCTTCGCATCCGTTTTCTCATAGAAGGCCTGTTTATCAAACAGAGCCAAATTAGCCTCAAAATCGAAGTCCGTATCGATAAAATCTTCAATTCGCAAGGAATCCCATCCATTACTCATGGAAGTGCTATGCTTTCCTCGAGTTTTAGTGCGTCTTTGATTCCTCCTCTGCAACTTAGAAGCTGCTGAGTCGCTCTCGAAACCGGATGCAGAGTCAGAATTGAGGGCTTCAGCTTTAGACAAAATCACACCATTACAATCGACTTTAACACCTCAAACTTTGACCAGAGATAAGCTTACTTGATTTTGAACGACAGCTCCAACGATCTGTTGCACTGGTGCTAGATGTGCGAGAAAGACCTCCGCCATCATCCTTACTGATATTTAACCGCCTGAGTGGTTTCTCTAGTCCATTCTCAAGCTTCTTCTGCTGATAAAGTTTCTGTTGACTTTGAGGGGTTTTGGCAACTCGGGGAGGTGATCGGTCGCACACGTAGGCTGTGCAGGCACCGGGGATGTTGCGCAGTTTTTCGCGACGAAGATCACGAGATGAGGGAGTCTGGTTAATGCAGCCGGTAGACTTATTTTGGCTGCAAGAGGTGCGAGTTGTTGAAAGAATTTTCAGTTGGCCGATGAAACGCTTCCTAAGAGAAACCAGGGCTTAAACATGACAATTGAAACAAAGGCTTGTTCTCCTAAGAAATATAAGTCAGACTGACAAGAACAGAATGAAACTCACAAACACCAGGAAGATAAAATATGAAAATTAAATAACACAAAATTTGCATAAGGAATAAGCACTTAAGAAAAGCCCGTACTGGACGGAATAAAGCATTTCGGGAACACTATGACCATTGACGGTGGTGTCGGTTAGGTCAATTTGATTGTCATTGTATGCCTTTACAATTCCAATAACTGTTCCAAGTTGGTCCGACTTTATTTCGACTTTATATCCACAAAAATCCGCCATTATATACAAAAACCACAATCTATGCAACAAATTTCAAACCGAGCTAAAGACGAGACACAACCTAACAAATTGTATTGACAAATGAAATTTTCAAAAATAAGATTTTGTTTACAATTTAGGCATTAACTAAAACTCATGACACATTAATCGTATCATTTAAAAATTTTGCAGTACTTAATCAACTTTATTTTAGCTGGTGTATTTCTACCTTAAAGACAGCATTGTATCAATGGTAATGTTAACAAGACATCCATCACGAAAACCATTTATTATGAACGAAAATCCATTTATAGTAGACAAAACTGCTAATTATTTTGCTTCTAGGACAAAAAAAACCTTAAATGAACAAAATAGGGGGCAATATTATGCTGCGAGAACTCCTTTCTTTACAGATTTTACAGTATGAAAGCATTGTGTGAGCCACGCTCCATAATTCTGTTTTCATATTTTGCCCATATAACTGAGTCAGGTCGTTGTCCAGATTTTTTTTTCTAGGCCCTTCTTCTCTGCTTATATGCACTGTCGTTGCCTCAGGGAAGACCCAAAACGCCTCTACCCACTAAATGTATATTTTTTTTAAATCCTAAAATATACCATATTTTGCACCGAATAATCCATTTTATAAATTTGTTATTTACAATAATTCGGTTTCATCTCGAGTGGTTTTGATATGCAACAAAATATCTCGCAGTGTTTTAATATTAATTGACTGCTCAACACTTCCGCTCCATGGCATACTTTGGAAAAGCTGATAGTTTCCGCATCTCTTCTGCAATTGGGTTACATCTTTCACCACAATATATAGATTTTTCACAACCCTACCAAAGACTCGAGGAGCACTTTAGCTACAGTGGCGGGCAGACCTGATTTCAAATGACAAAAGCCCTAATTTCTATAGTCAAATACCAGTGCTTGTCGTCTCGGAAAAGGTGGTTCTGCCATGAACTGGTGGATCTCTGAATATGTGACTTTTATCAATGACAGCTGCTTTGGTCGCTTGGTCTGTAAGAAGGCTACTAGCAAATGAGGCTACATCAGGCTTTGACCACTTGGAAAAATCAACACGCGAACTATCGACGCTTTTTCAATGTATTTAGTAGCTGAAACACTGATAGATGGCCGTATAACAATAGGATGAAAAAAATGGCAAACATGACATGGATGTGAATTATTAGCTAGCGATATTACTTTAAATCACGCATTTTGCTGATTGTGCCTACTTCATGGTCGATATCTCCAGGACTATTGAATACCATAAGAAATGCTATTGTTGTGGCGAGTTCTGTGGCCTCACGCTACTCTCCGCTCTACACACACACACACATACACACACACACACAAAGAACTTTCAACTTTCCACAATTCCCTTTCTCCTTTTAAGCCCTGTCCCTGATGTTACCATTGGAGAGGCCTCTACTTTAATCTTAACGAGTTCTTGTGTGAACTGCGAGATAGGATCAAAGATGAATTCGAATCCGAGGAGGGAATGTTGCCCATTAATGGCATCAAATTCTGTACACTACTTCGGTGGCTCGGAATACCTCATCATTTGCATTCATAAACTGAAGAGAAAAGGAATTTGTGTGGGTGATTTTGCTAAGGTCTTAACGCTCTCCTACAACAACATAAAATATGGTGTAGGTCATTAAACCTGAGAAACCTTTGCAATGCCTTTTATTGAGACCCATTTTAACTCGACAAAAATTGGCCTTGTATCTTCACTAGCTGTTATGTAAACTCTAAAATTGGCAATCTATTTTCCGGCTTACATGTAGACAGTCTTCCACTAACTCAGCCATGTGGATATAATGCTAAGCAGGAATGATTAAAAGTGAAGATCAGGAGAGTTTTTCTCATCGGATAGGATTCCACCTACTGCTACCACCTAGGAGGCACTCTAGATCTTCCTTGAGATCGTGATAGCCCGTACATAAAAAATAAGTCTTATTGATAACGTGCTGAAGGTATCCAAGGTCAAAGGCATGGTCAAAATTATAATCAGCTAGTATTATGGTGCTTAAACCAAACAAACAAAGCAAAAATGCTCCTTCAAATTCATCTAATGGTTTTTACGTAAAATGAAGTGAATATTATTTGGTCGTCTATCATTACCAAACAATTACCATTAAAGTGCTTCTGCATTTTTTCTGCAAAGTTTAGACCACCCGATTCTTTCCCATAATTTGGTTACATACAAATTAAAAGACGTTAGGGTAAAAAAATCTTGTCTTGCCCTAATATTTCCGAATTATACAACAAAAGTGTGAAATTTACCCAGACTATGCAGTGGATCACTAGAACATCCTTATTGGTTGGATCCTGACCAATGAGAAAAAAGGAAGGGAATGATTGGGTAATGGATTGACTTGCCGACTAATTGATTGTTTGATTCATTTTGGCATAGATGAAAGAAATTCAGAATTTGATGATTAGGAAAAAATTTGGCATAAATTTGCAGAGATTTTTAAATGTTTACAATCAGAAGAGAACACCGTCACGCCACCTGTGGCACTTGCCACTTTTATGGCAGTCATTATTAATCGCATGACATGGAGTTGTCTATTCACAACCCATGAAATTAGGGGAAGTCATTTTTAACCCATCCCAAACGTATTCAGCCACCTGCGCTGTAGCCGCTCTTCTCCTACGAATTCAAGCTTTTTTGTTTGAAGATCTAAGATTTCTGGATTTTTATGGTTGATGGACATAAAAATAAAGATTAATGTCCTTATGAGTTGAGTTTGTTTGCCTTTGCTACCAGTGTGGTGCCTCAGAGTCTTCGTGAACAGACGGGCGTTTATTTGTGTGACTCAAATAGGGAATAAAGTACCTTTTCTGCATAAGTAAACATCTTAGTCGGTGATTTTGGTGCTTTCTTAATTTAACTGGAAGAGATTGTTTTGCCAGTGTTTTTAATCCCTGAATACGATTGTAAGAAGGTGTTAATCCACCAAAATGATTTTATAATTCTCTATTAAAATCTTCTATCGGGTTAATGCGATTTTCTACAATGAAAGGACCGGAATCAGTGGCAGGAGTGACTACGGTAGGAGTAGTCTAGAAATCACCATTTTTGAGATTGTCAGTACCAGGCGCGCAAATGTCTGTCTAAAAAATAATCCTTTTTATACCTTACTGTTGTTGTAGAGTTGTGCGCCTCATTACCGTGCCACATCCTGTTTAGGGTTCCCCGGATTCCAAAGAATTTGCTCCAAGGGACTTCGTTCCCCACCACACAGTTGTCTTTGACTATCAAATTCCAAGCCGCTATGATAACCTTGCCTTGTACTGGTCAGAAACCCGGAAAAATCAAGTTTCTTGAATCGCACCCCGGTACATGCTACTTAGCGTCTTATAAGTAGCTCTGGATGCTGATAATTGGACATTCGGAAACAAATAAGTGAATAAGCAAAGATAAATTAAATTTAGCTATTCAAAGTGTTTCCTTATAGGGAGAGGCATTGTGTTAATAGTTGTAGGTGGTAGTTTAAACAGTGTGTGAAATAATTTGCGCCTACCTCCTTCGTGAGAAAAATGGGTCTCCTTTGAGTAAACCATGTCATCTATCACACCATATCTAATTGCATTATTTTGTGAAACTGCTGAAGCAATGTGCTACGTTACTGTAACACTGCCGTTGTTACCGGAGGTAGTTAAATCTGATTTTGTACACCTTTTGAAACCCTTTTGCTAAAGGCATTAGTAAGGCAAATAATATTGACATGATTATAGATTACAGCAAATGATTACAAATAACTCCTGCGAATATTTCCTTTTTTTCAATAACATACACATTGTGTCACAGTGGGTAGCCAATGAAAACACGTCCTTCAAACGAACCTCTCTGAAGAGCGTATATATGTCCTTGGGGAGCCAATCAACACAGAGTTAAAGGAACTGCAAGTAATATATGGATTTTAATTAGCCTTAGGCAATTCAGGGAAACAAAAATGACTAAAATCTGTCCTGGAATCGTCTACTCAATTATCTGGTTTCTTCTGGCTGTTATTATTGCATGGCCATTGGCCTTTATTCTCACATGTCTCTACATCTTTCTGATGCCTTTCGCGGCTTGTATTATACCTCTGGAAAACTGCTTGGACCAACTGCTAAAGATCATTAAACTACCCCTTACATGGTCAAAAAAAGGAGTTGCTATGAATCCTTTATCAGACTGTCGTCTGGAGTAGGCCACCACCCTCCGCGCCTTTCCCCTCTCGCCCCGCCGTCTTCGTCGCCTCCACCTAAGCATCACCAGCGTCGTCATCATACATTGCTGAACAAAGGAGTTTCGATTTTTGCATCCAGCTTTGTATTAGTTAATGTACGTGATCCTTTAAACAAGCCAGCACTGCAATCAAGGCTGTGTTTTTATGCTGCTCTTTAAAGAAGCCCAAAATTTTGCCTTTAATATTTGTTGAAATGTTTCCCTTTGCTCATAAACTTTTTTCTTGGCGCATTTTTCACCTTGTGTAAAGATAAATTTATCCATTCTGGATGGTGACTTCTCTTCACCAGCGAATTGCGCCTAACTCGAGGAAAATGTAAAGCACCCAGTTTGAATGTATCGCCATCACCGTTCAAACCGGCAATGGTTTGTTTAATTCCTCAACTTGGATCCATAATTATTTATAATGCCCAAATAAACTGTTAAAATTACTTGCCTCTTTCTGTTTCACCGTAAAGAATCGTTGAATTTGTCTAGATCGAGTTGTTACGGGTTCATAAAGACACGAGCGAATAAAAAAATGCGACAAAAACACTCTTCTTTTGGAGACAAAAAGAAAGATGAAAAAATGACCAACCTCCTAATTTGTAGGAGTTGAGTAAAAGACTAATAGCAAGATTATCTAGTGACACATTTTTTTCCTCACCTTAGACTTCTTGGAGAGGATGCCGCAGAAATGAAACAATTCTGCCAAAAACCGTCCAAGTAGACTACATGCAACATGCCGCAAAGATCAAGCATGATTTGTGAGAAAAAAGGCCGCAGAAATGCGCTTTTTGTAGGGCTGAAGAGAGATGCATTTCGGTAGAGGCCTTTACATTAACTTTGAAGGAGCCGAAGCGTGGCAATCAGTCAGTGCAGCGCTCAAAATTGGTCATTGGGTCCGAAGTGTCAGTTAAAACAGGTGAGTGGGAGTTGAGGTCTACAGCTCCCCGGATCTAGGTGAGCTCCAGAGGCTGGCTTTTCGTCAAACTTGAGGAAGAAGAGTAGGCGAAGGTGTTGTTATGTGATGTGCCGCAGCATTGCTTACCAACATCAGGAAGCTTGAATTAAGGAGAACAGATGATTTCCTCATTTTGAGGTATAAAATAGTCTTTCTTTATTCCTACTCTAAGCCTAATTGAGTTGTAAATAAAAAAGGAAAGAAAAAGGAAAAAGTTCCATCTTGACAGAAGTGACTTCGAGTTTGAGACAGTCCAAGTCAAGTAGGCGTGTATCGTCGAATGATGCGTAAGGATAACATCATTTTTTGCCCGTTTTCTTAAGCAACAGACAAGATTTTAATTTGGATTTATTTTAAGTTTGTGCTGTAAGAATCGTCGTTATTACAACCATGTACCTAACTATCAAAGTTTCAGGCCGAGATTTTGATTAAAGGGTAATACATTTCTGCTAGAGGAGGTGGAAAGGGAAAAATTCTAGGTCGCTCTGATTTTTGCAGCTTCTGCTGAGGAAGAAGTACTAAACTATAAAAATAGTCGCATAAAAAGGGAATGGTTAATTTACTGGCTGAAATTGCTCACAATTACACTGTCTGCTTCCTGCCCGTTTCATGGGATATTTTGCCTCTGGAAGCCGAGAAAGACCTTACCCATAGGCTTATTCCCTTCTACTTCTATACATCCGCATTCCACTTCACATGTCTGTCTGGCATCCGTGCCACGAGGAAGAGTCAAGGCCCATCAACTGGAGGTCGAAGATCTAAGAGCAGGCGGATGTGGAGGATGAGGGCAGTGAAGGTGTAATCACAAGGTAAGACCGTGTTCTCCTTCACCTCAAGTTGGATAAAATGCAAATTCTCTCGCGACTACCTTTGACACTGTGTGAATATGCATGCGTGTAGGTTCTTGTGGCGCTTATTTTGCTACGACTTCCAAATGACAGTGCATTGATTGGGGTGACTGTTTCTATGGCAGACGTTTGTTTGGACAGGTGTGTACGTATCTACATGAAATGATGGCTACGGGGTGGATGAATGGGTGGATGCGGAAAGGGAAGGATGGATGCAAGATGGATGGATAAGACGCACAAATGTGCTTGACTAGCATCTAGTAAACTACCACTTCTACACAAACTCATGTACACATAAGCGCACACAAACTTGACAAACACCTTTCTGCTGCGATAAAGTAGTATCTGCCGTCCACTTGTCAACTGGACAGTGACGTGTAGTATATTGTTTAAGGAGAAAAACTTTGTATTTTATTTAAACTTTGGCTATAATTTAGAAGCTATACTTCGCCTCACCTTACCTCATACCAGTCATTCCTTTAGTCAGTTGGTCGGTGCACACTCCTAGATGCAAATCACATGAATAGCAGAGAAAGAGGCAGACAATTAGACGGCCTGAGGAGACGACGAGCAGACACTTGGGGAGATGGTCATTTACGCCTATTGTCAACAATTAGTAAATGGCTTGTGATTGCTAAGGAGCTCTCAGCATGCTCCATCCAACTGTCTTCACCGCTAGAGGCGAAGCGTTGAATCACATCCCAAGGCAGACAGCCGTGGAGGCTGTTGTTGACATGCTAAAATTAGACACTGTTACTCGGACCACCAGTGACATGCGACGATGGCTCATCATGATGAGGGACTGGGAGCCCTAAACTCTCAGGAACGCGATACATCCCGTTCAGAGAGATTCAACCTCCGTCGCTTCGTGTTACGCGCTGCTACCGCACATCACACGACAACTTCTTCGACTCTTCTTTCTCATGTGTGACAAGAAGGTAGACTTCTGATGCATTCGTAGGACAGTCAGTTCAACTACCATCCATTTAGGTATGTGGAGGGCCGTGCATCATGTACGTCTTTTCGCCTATCAAAATATCAAACATTTGTTTTGTAGATGAGGGATTATTTACTTAGTTCTTGAATGAGTTTAAAATACCGTCTCATTTAAAGGAACAAGTACTGCTCTTCTCTCCTTATTTGACACCGTCCCCTTCCACATTTCTGCGCCTCCTTTACTGATTAACTGATGCCTAGAAGGCCTAAATGGACAGACGAGTAAGCTAAGACACCTAAGTTGAAATGCCTACAGGTCTAGACATCCGACGCTTGATGACTTTCAAAAGTTTGCTGTTTACCACACTTGTCGTTTAAACAAGCTCAGAGTAAGTTGTGCGCTACTTTCCCGGCATCAGACCTTCCGTCTGTCGAAATGTTCACCACCAAGACGACAGTGGTTAATGATTAGCCAATCCTGGTGTTGGCGGATCATCCAAGCGCCCATCTACTGAGAGTATGAGGATCTGGTCAATGTACAGACTGTCCTTTAGGCCTTTTAAACATGTAGACATCCCAAGAATTGGGTTTTTTTTCGCCTACCTGAGGGGACTTTGACCATAACCGCACCATTTCCGAGGGTGGAAATACTATCATACTTTTCAACCATCTTGACTAAAGGTGTCCGGTGAGAATCAGGCCATCACATCACAGATCAACCTAATGCTTCCTTTGAAAGTGAGGAATGTGAAAGGAAATAGTGCCCAATTCTGCCTGTCAAGCCAGTTACATGATATGATTCTGGAGCAAATGTGGCCACGGTGCTTGAATTTGAGGCACATCAAAGTGAGGCAGTATTTTCACATACCCTGGGACCTGTGAGAAGGTGTGTGAGAAAAAGTTGCCCTCTAGAGAGCAGCCTACATATACTTTTACCATTGCTAAGCCTCCTGGGAGCTCAGCTGGAAGGTAGGGTTGCTAAAATTTGGGGAGAGGGGACCAGAGGAGGATGGGAATAATCACAGCTAAATTAGTGTTGGTGGCGAGGTTTTGTGCATTATGCCACGGACGGCTGCTTGATTCCCCAATAGGGGCGTATAATCCCAAGGATAGGTGACAATCACCGACTGAAGCTTGATGAGGCGCGCCATTTGCGGCATGCAAAGGTCGGAAAATGGGTAAGATGATGCCACAATTCCTCTCTTTCTCCCATCAAAACAACAGCTTGCACGCTCTCATAGACCATTAAAAGGCCTTTCTAATCCCGAGTAAATTCTGTCTCTAACAATTCGTGTATCATTTTAGATTCTTGTTCTTAACCCAGGACTTTCACAACTTCCATTTGCTAGACCTTACTAATAGTTGGTCTTGACGATAGGAGGCGAGAACTGGAGCCTTCTCATCAAAAATATCGAGCTTTGAGCAAATCACCACCAAACCCCTACTTTACATCTCCCTCAAAGGCTGAATCCAAAAATACGACAAAACGCTTTTCAATTCCTGAAAGCGAGTTAACCTTTGTTAATCAACCAATCAGGCTGGAACTGCATGCATCAAGTTCAACCAATCCTTTCTTGGAGTACAATAATATGCAGTGGCTACCCTATCAGCCTATCTGCAGCCTAATGCATGCACGTAAAAAGTCGTGCAGATACCACAAAGTCTCAGTGACCCCGAGGTCAAGCAAAATCCACACAAAGCCTATTTTAGGTCAACTACTAATGAGTAGTATGTACCTGTGAACTTTTGTCATATAAGTTACCCAAATTTTATCGATTTAAAGAGCAATCCAGCACTTCGAAATAAATGTCATGCGATGTCAATTATTGGGCAGTAACAGCTGCCAGCTTGGAGAGGGATTCACCTCCAACATTAGCCAATCAGAAAAGTCCCATTCGGGAGGCCCTTCATGACCAATCGAAACACGAAACTGTTTTCGAATTAGCAGTCAATGTCACCTACATTCAGAGAGCACAGCTGACATGATTCCAACTTGGTAGGATGTGCGGAATCTGCGCTGAAAATTCCTTACTCCCTTATATGTTCCCTTCTCGTCATTTTTTTGGCTGTTCGGTTACCAGTTGTGTTGCCTCATTCTACATCCTCTCGATGCCTTTCCCTGCCTGTATTTCAATCCTGAAGATACGTCGAGATCACCACCTCGTGATTTTTAGGCTGCGCCTTATTTGGGCCAAGAAGGATGTCCACATGACGTCAGCAGAAGTGAGATGCTGCTGTCTATTTTACGGAATTGATAGTAAAATGGAGGCTATTTAAATCCACTTTGTTGTCGTTGAATGTGTCTCTGTAAAAATAATTTTTGTTCTTAAGTATGCTGATTTGAGGAGGAAAAGTCTGCCTTTTAGTCACCAAAGTGAACAGAGTTGATTCCGTTCTTGTTTAAGTACACCTTTAAAATGTCGGACACTGCAAAACCCACTGGAATCATGCAAATCTTTTGGCAACCTAGCTTTTAGAAAATGTCGGCGGCTTTTCAGACCTTTTATGCGGCTAATGCTAAATAGTCCTCTTCATTGTGGGCATGGCTTGATTTTGCTTCAGGGTCGATCCTGGGCGCTCTAGAAGATTAGGTTCGTCATCTTTTCACACTAAAATGGCAAATATCCAAATAGATTTTTGGTATGTAAACACATTTTAAGGGATAGATATGCATCAGCCCATCATCACAAAAATCCAGTACTATCAAATGGACAGGATTGACAGGACTTGAGATGAAGTACCTGACCCATTGAATAGAATGCGGCTCCAGAGTTGCAGAGAATGTGGCTTGGGGGAGAAGTTGCAGCTTACCGTAGAAGAAGAGATTATTAAGAACCCATATATATGTATAACATTGGCTATGCCAAACAATCCTCTCTGTACTTCACACTTTTGTGAACGTGACAAGGGTATGGTTCCTTTGAGTGTGTGATAGTATGCGGGAGGGACTGCAGACGCTAATTCTCGTTACGAAAAGACCACTAACTAAAATTAAAGAGTACTTAGCAATGCGATCTATACGTCCCTCCATCCTCCATCCACTTCGCAACCGTTTATCCATCCATCCACCCATCCATTTGCTCATTTATCTGTCTACCCGTCCATCCATCTAAATGATGCAACTTGAACTCATATGGGAAAAAGTGACCATCCATAACCTAGAGAACTAGTGAACCCGTGAGAACCTTGTCCTACCCAAAATCTCGCACCGTGCACTGGAATTAGTAATTGTAAAATGACTTTTTATATCACTTTTGGATTGTAGTGATGAGGGTTGGGAGAAGGGAGGAAGGAGGTACTACCACCACTTCGCCCTCATTCTCCCCATAGTACTGCTCCAGCCTCAATGCGATAAAAGTTACGTTTACATCTATATTGTGCTTCATTGAACTGGTTTCCAGATCGTAAACACGACTGTCCTGACTTAAGATGAGTCTTCCCCTTTGCAAGGTTGTAGCATCTCCTTTTGATATTTTTATCTCGGTAGATTTCGATACACCTTATGACCGGAAGTTCAACTTATCCTCCCCTTTGTTCGTGAGATACTCTACTACTTTGCTCTATGCGCACAGAAGACATTTTCAGAGAAGTTATTCAAGGTCGCTTTTGTTTCTACTACCTGGTGGACTTTGTAGAAGGCAGGAAGTGCTTTACAATTAGTTTTTTTTTGACTAAATTGTCCTTTTAGTGGTAGTGCAAGCACCTGCACTCCAATTCGGCTAATTCATTTGCACCGCCATAAACATCGCATGACTGTGCTGGCCAATCAGGTAGCGGCACTGTGGCCAACAACACTGGAGCCTCGTCTTGCGACGCGAGAACCAATAAAAAGTGCTACTGTGTTGCATAAATACCGATAAGATCCAGTGGAGGGTTTCCAAAAGATGGCGGATATGTGTCCCGGACTCCTATATTCCATCGTCTGGTTCCTTCTCGTCGTTTTCGTTGCATGGCCGATCGCTGGATTCCTAGGCTGTATCTACATCTTCCTGCTGCCTTTTGCAGCTTGTGTACCGCCACTGGAAGATTTTCTTGACCAACTCTTCATATTTGTCAAATTGCCGCTTATATGGTCCAAAAAGGGAGTTGCAATGAAGTCACTAACTGACTGCAGCCTCGATTAAATGTGAGAAAGTAAAACCTTCCCTTATTTACTTTTGTTTGCTTTGACTCTTAACCTTCATCTGCCCCTACCCCACTACACCCCACCCCGCCTAATTATTTCTAACCTCCCCTTTACCCCTTAATCACTTTGAGTGATAATAGGGCATTATGTGTATTTTTAAATGGCCAACTTGTCACTCCTTACCTAAACCGATATTACTTTCTTCTCCCCACTGGCTCATTTCTTGGCTCACTCGCCACTGTTCGCTGTGGGGCTGGAAAAGACACGTAATAAGGCTTTAGTTCTTCTGCCGCAACTAACTGGTCCGTGACTGCTTGCTTGAGGTAGGAGGTATTTCATTACGAGTGCTCCACAATCGCACCACTGCAGGCGCATTATTTACCACGAACGTAAAGCATTAACAGCAATAGGTAGTTGTCAGTAAATGTCAAGGTGCCGTTGGTGATTTGCCCCATAGAAAAAAATCTCATGGTGCCCTTACCAACCTTAACTTACCCACACATTTAACATAATGGCTAATCTTAATTCTGAGGGCAGAAATTTAATGCAAGTAGGTAAATTAGCTTTCTTTCGAGCCTGCATCCGTAAGCAGAGGTAGATTTGAAAATCAGTGGCTGTGGGGCCCGCTTGAAGGCGCGCTCATACGATCACGAAAAGCAGTCATGCCACTTTAGTTTACAAAGTACAATGCAACCAAAGACGCTGAGGCACGAAGAGGCGGTGATGCAATCACCTGAAATACACACCTGGTGGCGAGAGTGAAGCTGTGAACCCACCACCGGCTCTGAGTGGCGATGCCGCTCCGCTGCAGATTGAGATGTGAAGGGCAGACACATCGATTGTCTTACTTAGACAAAGAGGCACATTTTGCTCTGGCAGCTTACAATCTACTGGCACTACAATTACTGTTGTCAGTATGTCTACAGAATTTTTTCTGCATTCAAAATTTTCAGCTTTTTACTTCTTTAGGGCTAATGGCTCTTCTAACACTACTTATGGGCTGTGAACCCATCCTGTAGAGTCGGAACATAGGCATGTCTTCAGTGGAGCTAGTGCCGTTTACCCCAAGAAAATGGTAAAATACATGATTTTTGCGGGATAGCACGAAAGTCACTTGACGTAAATAGGCGTAGTGGGAGCCGCATGTAGACTTAACCTTCGTGCTGCCTTGGAAGGGGAAAAAAGTTTGGGATGACAACTCGTAAAAAAACATCAAAATATTAAAAAAGAAGGGGGTCTAGAAACCCTACCTCGGTATCTAAAAAAATTGACAAAATACTGATGGTTTTAAATAGTTAATGCAAAATTATCCATTACTTTCATTAATATTTTTCGTACAACTTGTTCTTAGAATCCACTGATTTTTTAAAAATGTAACCCGTTGCTAGAGCAGGACGGTCGGTAACTCCACTCGTGCTTTAAAGGGTGCGTATGTGTTGTCGCGAAAAATTGCTTCACTATTCTTAATTTACGGCTTAAGAAGGGATGGATAAACGCTATTTGGCCTTCATTTTGGAATCATATTGCAAACACCCTCAAGCTCCACTACTGCGCTTTGAGAAGCAACAAGATTAACAGCCTTTAATCCAGAATTTTTAATAAATCACAGGAGATTCATGTTTAAAGGGTCAATCAACAGCAGGAGCTTTAAGAATTCATTCACATTCGACTGGAGAATATACGTGGGACGGATGATATCGCAGAAGAGGGGGACAGAACACCCGTAGCTCTTGGGATGCGGAGCCATAACAACTGCAGCCATGTGACATGGATGGGCGAATTTAGGGCACCTCACAAAAATTTTATCGCATTGATGCATAAAGCTGGCACTGCTATGAGGCGAGATTATATGATCGCCTCGCCCCACAGCGTGGTAAAATTTGCCATGGCAACAAAGACAATGACGATTTGATCTACGGGGTATGCCGTAACTTGTGTATTCAGAGCAGGTTGTAGGGATAATTGAGGGCGAGAAAAGAGGCAGGGAGTCCAAAATCAGTTGCATGTAGATCGTCCTTTGCCACTTACCTGCCGAGCGACGTGGATGTCTGCGGTCTAAAAAAGGAAACATTGTGTTGTTTAGTCGGTAGTCTAATGAAAAAATGTTTTGCTTGTCTTGCCTAAAATAAAAAAAGATGGAATGCATTGAACCGATTCTTAAAAGTTATTGATTGGAATTCTAGGTTGTATTGACTTAGGTGTCTACTGATATCCAATTTCAGCCACCAGCTAGATCAGAGAAATATTCTTCCTACTAGAAAGTAGCAGGAAAATGAGTTTTGCTGTCACGAAATGAGAGGTGTTAAAGCTCTTTAATACCCAGTTGTGCGGACTTTACGATCTTCGCCAACTTGGTAGATCAGTATGTAAGCTGTGAAAATTTAACGGTAGCATGACCTGTCACCTGACCTCTTGCATATAAATCAACGCGTGACCTGCACTCCAGTCTTCTGTTGGACTTTGTAAATAACTTTCTTTCTTTCTGACCACTCGGACATTTTGCTAATGGGGTACTCAGCAGAATAGCAAGCATTTCCTCTGCGCCAGTGATATTTTTGGCCCTTTGCTCACGCCCAAATCACTGACCAAGTGTGCAGCTGGAAGATTGACATATGGAGCGTTATGGATGGACCGTTCCACGTGCATCACGCAAAATTGCTGATGATGAATGACAGTACACTTTAAAGTAAAAAAGGAAGTCTGACTTGAAAAAATTGCTTCTTTTCATCACCTTCTACACTCCACTGCTGCCTGGCCAACTGGCCGAAACCTAATCGGCTGATAAAGAGTCTAGAATGGCATCACTTGTTCTCGCATTTCTCTTGGACAGTTCCAAGAGGGTCGCCTTCAAAAGGCACCAGCATGGCGAAAAACGACATTAAGGTCTCCGCTAAGGTTGGCGCGTCCTTTCTGTTTTACTAAAGTCTGACAATTTGTAGAAGAACTCAAGGTAGTTGATCATTTGATAGGATTCGCCAAACACTACCACCGTTGCAGAGCCCACTGCCTTCTCAGACGCCGTAATAAAACCTATCAGTTTGGCGGTGAGTTTGTTCTCACATTAAAAATTGGCTACCAAAGCAGAAGTACACATCACCTTGCCGATGATCCCGCATTTTTAGAACGTACACTTAAACACATGTCATGCCCCTCCTCCGCCCCACATACCCATCAATCAAGTAAAGCCCACTTCGCAATTTGGCGCTTGAAGGGAGAGTATCACATCTTGATTCATCCACCCGCCTTGGCCACCACGGAAAATTTCAAATGCGGGAAAATCTAAATAAATCGCTGTGTTTTATAATCTGGTGGTGACGTATGCTGGGTACCAGACAAATCAAGAGGCAAAGACCCCGACACTCATATCTGAGTTGGTGGAACTACGTGAGAGCTCAAGCCAGACGATTAGATGACTATCGGAAGCTAGAGGAGATTCTCCTCTCGTGCATTTACAGCACTTTGTTTGGTACTGACAACAAAATGATTTGAAACCCACCCACAGGTAGTGTCAGCCAGTCGGAGCAAATAGACGAGGGCGGATGAGAGTCAACATCTGGAACTTCTGAAATGTCCGTAAAAGGAGAATGGAAAACCAAACTTCTAAAAAGTCAAATGAAGCAGGACTTTGGGGGGAGGGGGAGGAGGGAAACACCTAGCACGATGGCAAAGAGGTATGACAGCCTTTTGAGGAGCACACTTTGCCTCCATGCTTGACATCATATCATGTAAATTGTTGCCTTTGGCATGGTTTTTACAAAAGAGATGTGAGCGAAGTCGTGTATGATGTAGATGATGGCGATGCAATGCAAATTTACTTACAATTCTTTATAACCAATAACTCATCTACCTTCTTTCCGTCTTATTCAAATTTCAGTAATAGCCCAAAACGTGGAGTGTAGAGGGTCAAATGGTGCTGCCTTGGTACTTTTTGACCGCAGTTAAATGGAATCGATGCTTATTCCTTGACCTCACGGTGTCAAATCTACCCCTCAATCGATGGAATCCACGTCACTGCGACATTCGTGGTGGTGGAGGTGATTAAGCAGTTGGCAATGCGTCAGTGCTTTTGGTCCTTACCCTTGATCCAAATCGTATGGCTGATCCCGTGACTTCATATCGCGCAGCTTCAGTTAAGTGAACGCGCCTACTGATTTCTCTCAGTAACATCGTGCCACATTGAACAGTCAACACAAATACTATTCGAGACAAGCTACTAGTATCTGTGTTATCGCACTCTTCCAGGGCAGTATGGAAATCACTCAAGAGGTATGGAGATGGACTTGTTGTTGTCATTCAGAAGGATGCAAATCGATCAATTCCTCTCCCTCCCTCTCCTCGGTCACGAGGTATCATCCATCTTGTCCATTTGTGAATTCAAGCGCTTATGTATTACAACCATCCAGGCCATCGCACCCATGATTCCACTTCATAACCTATCATGAGTTGCCACTGCTTTACCATGGCCTTGTGGTATCACCATCACACTCCACCGGCTTATCTACTTACTTATTTCTCCTGTTAGCCTTTCATTCATGTCATTTCGGCGGCATGACAGGCTTTTATTTCAGGTTTGCAGATTCCTTAATATAACCGACTTGTAAACATCCGGGGAAAATCGCACTTTAAAGACCTCCCTAATTCCGACACCGAATAGATCCGCCCTCAAAATGATCACTCACTCCGGAAGAATAAAAGGAGTTCTGCCTTCTGGGGTGGAGTGAACTATTCCACTTATTTCTCTCCGACGCCGTTTATTTCAAAACAGTTAGCTTAAAGCAGCTCTGGGCTGGGAAATTAAAATGTGAAGAACCGGGGAGACATGAGGAGACATTGGTGCAAACTAAGCCACCAGGCGAGTGAACGTCTTTGTCAGCTACTCACAAACAGACAGACACAAGACCTTAAAACAATCCTAGTGTGCCTCACTTCTTTCACGCGCCTCATCAGAAACGTGAGCACATAATGAATGCAAGTTGTTTCTTGCCTGATCGACGCACCCACTGACTCGTGATGTGGTGTGGTGTGAGGTAGTTTGGTCTCAGGACCCATGGACCTTGTTCGAAGTAACTGAATAACCACCTCTACCCATCTCTCAGTGGGACTTTCGCGCACAAGTTACAACTCCATTTAGTAACTGTCTAACAACTGAGGAGTAGGCGATGCAGGATTATCCGTCAGTCTCAAGGCACATAACATTAGAATCACCTCCTTCAAACCTTTTTAGATGGTACGCACTGCCAACCTCAAATCACATCAACCCACTTTAAGCAACGATTTAAAATGAGGTGAACTCCTCAGCAGGGTCAGAATACAAACGACTCGCCAGTAATGCTATAAGTGGGCAAACTTTCGCATGCACATCAGTTCCATCCTTAAATTCAAAAATATTTACCAGTAACAAATATGATAAGTGAAAAATGACTGGCAAGGATATTCCACTCTCTTCGCTCCCTTTACCTCATGTACTATCAAAGACAAGTTTCCACCAACTCAACAATTCCAATAAAATTTTTTGCCATACACGACACCCGAATCTCGCCAGTTCCTCGAGCAAATCGGCAAAGTGTTAATCCTTCTCTCTCACACATTTTATCTACCTCAATTGGCGGACCTCACCGATAAGAAGCAGTTTTGTGCCCTTCACAACAAGCCAACGACAACCTATATTCATGCTTTCATTTGCCTCCCGTGCAAGTTACTCGCGTACCGCTGATCCAAGAACCACACAGCACTGTCAGCACTACAAATGGTCAAATTCTACGTAAAGCCTCCACAGAACAGGAAACCTATCCTTATTGATTTAATTATCGAAACCACAGATTTTAGTAACAGTAATACGCAGCCTTACGATTCCTTCTTTCGAGTCTGCACAGAAACAAACAACAGCCGCATGACATCAACTCATCATATGTTTTGGACTTCAACTTCACATCTGTTGAATCATGTGAGGAAGACGCAAAAATAAACTTGTAATTAAAAAAGAGTTCGAACAACTTTTTGGTTCACGTATTTCCACCAGTGTGCATTGCACGACTATACTTAAGCGTAAAAAGTCAAGTCTGAAGACTGTTGGTGAAATAACCAACACTTGCTATTGGGTAGGCTAGCAAAGCGTCCATGTGCATTTAAGGTGATTGTTCGACAATCAAATTTGTACACAGCTGCGCAAATTAAAAACAAGTATGCCTCCTTCTTCAGAGTTCCCACAAGCATTTCGTCCATCCCCATATACCTTCAACATATGCACGCAATATTTGTAGGAGTGGTCAAGGTGTAGTCAAGGTCGTCACCACCCTTACCATCAATCCCTTCATAAGAACTTTCACCAAAAAGCTGTGAGCGTCATCTCTAGATTTTGACAAAAAAATTTCAGTAGTTGTTGCAAATTTTTCTGTGCTGTTAACAAAACATTTTCAGGTCTCCTTTTAACTAGCAATTAATAGTCACAAAGCAATAAGTTAAGTCAAATTGTTCATTTAGAGATATTGATTCTGATATATAGTGGTTTTCGTAAAAATTTCTGACGTATGCGTGATCTGTTGTATGTTTTAACATTATATCAAATCACTTACAAAATTCAATCCCCTTCGTTTTAGGTTTCGTAACATCATCCAGCAGCGGTAGTCAACAAATCTACATGTTGAATACAATACCATTCATTCGTTCTATATATTCCCTTACATCGGAATTTATGTTTAATATATAAACTGTGAGGTGGAAGTGCTACTGCTGAAGAATAGACGCTGAACCAAAACAGATGCTTTCCTCTTGCCGAGGGACACTTTGTCTTAACTTGAAGGCATATAATTAAATGCAAACTGTTAAACCACTTTTAAAAAGTCAAATTCCTTTTTTTAATTTTTTTAGCTCTTGCATGTTAGAGGAAGTTATCGGTAGCTTACGGAGTTGGTGTTCTTATGAAACTGCAGTAGACGGAACCACAATAAACAATTGAAACCGTAAAAGTTGTGTAAAGTGCAGTGGATTTGTTACGTAGAAATCCTTTACTGGTAATTTAAGAAACTTTTTTGTCTGGGCATTTCCATCAATGAAGAACATTTTTCAAAACTTATTAAACTAAGCCACAATTTACAAGCAATTTATTATACCCACCACCCATGCAGAGGTCATGATCAAACCCCTCTCGCTACCTGATATAGGTCTATTAACTTACTTAAGTAGTCAACTAGAGTACCAAATGTGCATATATATACATCATCGAAAACTAGAAGCCACTCTTTTCGTGTATACCACCTGCTTATGAACTTTTAACACACGTCCACAAGCACACTGGCTGATGACTTCTGGCCAATAGATAGGCCAGAAGTGGTCCTTTCTCTACCAATCACCATCAAGTGATTCTAATTCTACTACTTTTAAAGTCGCAAACCGTCACATTCACATTGCACACTATCAAGGCTCATGGATGGATATAAATTCTGGAGCATAATATACGCGCTCTTCTGCTTCGCCTTGATAATCTTCATTGCCTGGCCTGTATCATTCACACTGGCAGCCATCTACATATTGTTTGTTCCGTTTGCCGCCTGCATTCCTCCCCTTGAGGCGTGTCTGGATGATGTTCTAGGCGCACTGAAATTGCCACTCTTCTGGGCCAAAGAGGCTATCCATGCGGAAGGTTTCTGTAACTAACAGGACCCACTCTCTCCACCATTTACCGAGCAACAACACCATCAGTAGTAATAAAGGGTCAATAAGGCATTTTCATGCTTCTTGTTTGCTTCTTTTTCTTAACCCGAACCTTATGGCATAACTGCGGTCATTGCGGCATTTCTAACGCTGTCTGGAAAGGTGTGGGGTAAAGCTACTTTAAATATCCCAGGAACAAATGTATTTTAAATATTTTTAGCGGTGCATATGTATGACAGTTAAGATTTTTTCCTCTTAATCTGGTATCACTTAACTTTAAAATGTGTTCCTCATTTCTACCAAAAAAATTTGCCATAAGCTGAATAGCAGACACACCAAATGAGGATAAACCAAAGCAATCGCTTTGAGAGAGGATTGGGCAGGGAGAAGTGGGAGATAGTGAGAAGAAGAGAGAGTAATGCAAGTTTAATTACCAGACAAGAGGGCATATCTATCCGCTTTTTACTGACGGGTGGACGCAAGTCATGAGGACAAAGTGTACCTCACATCTTCCACGCGCCTTACCAGATTAAGCTGTCTGCTGCCTGATAAAACACCCACTGACTTGTTGTGATGTAAAGAGCTGTGTTAAGAGTCAGCCTTTGTGTAATGTAGCACGCCAAACAAAGTAAATTAGAACACAATGACAAATAGAATTTGTTGTCTATAAAGTAGCCACCCACAATTCGCAACACACTTTCAGGATATGGGGAGCTTTATGCTCAAAATACTAATTTCGTTTTAAGCGTGTGCAGTGTTATGTGGTGCGATTTGATGTGATGTGTAATTGAAAAAACACGTAATGGCCAACCATCAGCCGGACGATTTGTGAAAGCCTAACAAAACCACATAGATCATGGTTCCAACTACTCGATACATGTAAACGCATGTGACAGAAAAGCAAGCCAAGCTCCTGTCTCAGGAGGTGGCGCGAGAATTCAGATAGTCGATGGAACTTATGTAATACGGTAGTGGTTTATCCCTTGGTATTGGTGAGGCGCCACTTTTGCTACTGCATCCCTTTAAGACAAGTAAGTTGCAGGGAGCAATTCAGCTCCAGGAGACAAGGCATCTACTGTACTTGTATGGTGCGCGGTGTGTGGTGGAGGGAAGCTTGTGCTTTTGCCAAATACATCACAAGGTGTCGGCACATGATAGTACGCATCCTATGGTAATTGCAAAAATGCAATTTTGCCTGTGGGAAATGCAGCAGAACATGCATCGGAGAATGACTTTCCTACTACTACTACTACTACTACTACTACTACTACTACTACTACTACTACTACTACTACTACTACTGGCTTTGTGGTAGTAGCAGTAGAAGTAGTAGGAAGTAACTAAAGCATTTGGAGGCATTCATGTCCAACGATGTGCAGTACACAGTTGCAGAGACAGACAGTGTGCCATAACATCATCGTAGTCGTGACTTGTTTCAAAGGAGACTTTGCGTTTCAGAGAACATTGGCAAATTGAGGTAGGGGGTAAAGCTATGTATGATTTTTAAAGGCAAATCGCTTCCTCCAATCCGCAGTATGTATCTTTCTTCCGCCAAGTCAACTGTTTGCAATCAGATGCGAATTGCCAAATTCTTATGCTTTAGGACTGGATTTTGTTTTTTACGGACATAATACTAGGAGAGGCCATGCATTGCTTTGGTGCGGAAGGGCTGGAGAGGCCACTGGCACGGACTAAAGGATGTGCAGCCCGACAGTTGTTCAAAGGTGGCATCTTAAATGACTGTGGACTAAAAATAAAACGCTGAGCATTCCTTCATTTTTCTACCTATTGTTGATAAAGACTTATCCCCTTAAGTTTGTTTATTCGTTATGCTACAATTCTCATACCATTTCTGGCTTTTAAACATGGCAGATAAGATGTCTGCAGGATGAGGCACTACGCGGTCAAGCTATTTTAACTACTTAATATAGTTTTCTGTTTCACAATTCTACATCAACGGTTGTTTTCACCATGCCTTTGTGCGAGCACTGGAATGACGTGCGAGTGGGACGTGGAACGATCGCACCAGCATAGCATGATGTCGCCGTAAATGTGCCAATGGATGAACATAGCCACTCCTCCGTTGGCACCTAAGAGTGAGACAAATGTCAGGTGTGGTAAACTTGCACAGGCGCCTTCAACCGAGCTGTGCATCTATTCGCCCCGATTTTTTTAATTTGAAATACTACTTGAGCATATTGGTTGAGGTCGGCGGCACGATATGAATTTACTCAAACCATTCATTAGTTAGGAAGGTTTTGGAATCATTCATTTACTTTGGAACGCAAAGTAAGTGTTGCAAACGAAATGAGGAAAGAGGAATTAATGATGCCTCAATGGAGGCCAAACCGAGGTGCAACACTGACCCTCACAAAATTAGACGTCAATTTACTGGTAATCACCACTAATACGTAAGGCCTCACATTGAGGAGTTGCTCACTTCTAATTTGGGATTGGTGAAGAAGTCTGCATTTTCATCTCAATAAATCACTCTCTGCATCGCTTGCTGAAGAATTGTGACGTGAAAGCATGACGAATTACTTGTTATGGAAACACAAGACGCGCGCCGTGAGTTGAGAGGCCTTCAGATAACTTTGAAGAAACCGAAAGCGTGGGTTGTCATGCGTGTAAAATGCATGAACCTGTGCAAACAGTTTGTTTTTTTTCACTTGTGTGCCTTTCTTGTGCTGAAATATAATAATATGATCAGCGTTTTGTCTCTTCGTCTTGGTTACGAGAGCACTCGCCTAATGTTCCTGCTCAATGTTCCGCAGGAATGCCATGAGCAACAATTAAGGTGGCATTATGCTTGGTTGTAGCTCACCTAAAAATAGTTGCCGCTGAGCTGTATACGCTGCATGTATGAGGAAGTTCTTTAGTTCACTCCCTGACACGCGCATGAATTATGTGAATGAAGGCTTAATGATGGCTCTCTAAAATTACCTTTCCTGACAATTCAACTTATCAAATCTCGGCCGATAATGATCTCTCGACTTCCTTCCCTCATTCACCCTCCTTAAGACTATTCCAGAGACTTTCATGTGACTTCTCTGTTATTGGTTGGTGCAAACTCAATCTATCCGAATAACTTTATTTTTTTCTGATTTGCCTTTTAGCTTTTTATCCACCTACCTAGCGGAGAATAAGCCAGGGATTCCTATCCCTTATGAGCTTAAAATCAAATAAACAGAGCTACATATAAGAAAAATAATTAATTCTAAATCCCACTTATTTGCAAGTACTGTAAATTTTGCATGAGTCTAAACTGATACAAGATGCCCATTCGCAGAGTCCATGCCTGCACCAGTTGTGAACGCTTCTTAAGTCGGCCATCCGCTGACTGGCAATGTACAGCTTCCACTACGATTACAACTTTACGTGTCTCCAATGAGGCATTCAGTCATTCGAGCAAAGGGCTCTAGTTAGAGGAAGACGGCATGCATAGCGGTATTGTGGAATGTCACAGAGAGACGTATTGTCATGCTTTGCCGACAGGTTCTTCAAAGGCAGAGAGTTTGGGCATTAACATCGTTTGCTTTCCACAACTTCCGGAGAGAGGATACATATGTATCCTGATTATGGCAGACTGCATTACAAAGTAGCAGAGGCAAAACTTGTGAAGACACAAGGCGCTGATTCAGTGGTTTATCCTGATCGAAACAGATTGAAAGGCCAACACGCTACCTCCCTCCTCCCACATCTACGGTGACATCATTCCCTCCTTCCTCCGACAGCATCGGTAGGCCCTTCTCCCTTGACTCCTTTCATATAATTTACTTTTACAGCATTGTTATACTTAGTGTTTCCATTGAAGTTGCTTTCATTGATGCTCACT